TGACATCGCACTTTATGACAGTATTGCTTAGCGACAGAAATGCCACTCCCAATTGGGGTTATGAGTTGAGCAGTACCTGTATTATTTCTGTTCAGTTCTTGTTTAGTTCGGACAGTATTGTCTGTTTTCCTTACGATTATCCAAACATGAGACTCAGTATTATGTGCTGACTTATCTACTGTATTAATAATCTATTCATCTGATCCTCTAATTAGAAAAATATTTTAGTTATAGTTTTCAGTATTTGGGAACTATGGAGGATACTTTCTTTTGGAGAAAAGTCACCTGTTTCTAAATGGAATTCTCTGAAGGTGGTATCCTCCATTGATCCTCCATTAAAAAGGGTAAATAAGAATTTGACTCAGAACGAAATAATCATAATGGGATCAATACATGCGCTAATAGGGCTTGTGGAAGGGAATATAAAGCTCTTTTGATCTTGCTAGTGTGTTTCTGAGGGGACTTGCCACAGACATCACAATCCAAACTAGAGAATCTATGGAGGATACTACCTTGAAAGAATTCTAGTTAGAGGTAAGTGCTTTTCTATTTTTTTTAAATATAAAGAATGTTACTAATCTTTGTTGCTCCTACCCAAAAGTCAATCTGGTCATTGTTTCTGATTGTCACCACAAATATTTACAATTTCTAGTAGTAGTTTAAAGGAAATTTTTTATAATGAATTTCATTTACCGTATTTGCCGGCGTATAAGACGACTTTTTTGCCCCGAAAAACATGCCTCCAAGTGGGGGGGTCGTCTTATACGCCGGTATATCCACTGCCGGCTTTCGGATGCTTGTTGGACGCAGCGAAGGCGCCTCTGGCTTCCCGGATCCCCTGCGTCGCTTCCGCTTCATCCCGCTCGCCTCGCTCTGCCCGAGGCTGCAGCCTTCCTGCTCTTCCCATGGCCCCTGGCACTCCGCCCTGCCGCTGCAGCCCCGGGGATTTCTGGAGGGCGTTTCCGGTGGTGGTGGGGGGTCGTCTTATACGCCGGGTCGTCTTATACGCCGGCAAATACGGTAGATATATTTAGTTATTTCCTGCTGACTCTTCAAAATAGATCTTGAGGTGTTTTTTTAACTATGATGCCCAAGGGCCCATGTACTCATAAAATGGAATATTTTGATACTTGTTTTTAAGACTGCTGACAAGATAATTAAAAAAAACCTAGACTCAAGGCTCTTTGCAGACTCTGAATTGCTGCTTTGTAGTTAAAAAAATGTAATCAATGACATAAACCACAAAACTCATCCTTGGTCCCCCTGAGATCATTAGAAACCACACTTGAATTATTTTGGAGTTTTGCCCCAAATTCCAAATGTGATGTCTGAAAATACATTCTGCTATATGAAATGCCAATGAAAACAGCTCAAGAAAGAACCTATATTACCATGATTTTTCTTTTAGTTCTAGGTTGTTTGAAAATGGTTCAACAAAGTTGAATTGGGGTGGGAATTAAACCCCACACAGATTCAAGCTCAAACCTCATGTTTTCCCCATGACAGACTGCAAATTGCATTAAACATGAGGAATTGCAAAATAATATACACTAAGCCATCTTTAATGAGCTAGAACCCTTGTAAAAATATATCCGGCAGTCATCCAGCAACTCATCATTATTTTGCCTTGAATACCTTAGCTGCAGAAGAAACACAGTAGACCTTTTATATTTTAAAATATTGCTCTGCTGCATTAAATATTCTTACCTACATATTTAACTTGAATATTTTATCCTTGAACTTGAAAAAATAATCTTCCAGATGTTTATAAAGTTAACTTGCTCTAGGTTGCTTTAATCTTAAATGTACATTTAATCTTAAATGTAGGATTGAAATACATTTATTTGTCATTTGCATTTAAATGTCATCTTAGAAAAGATAGGACCCTTTATTTAATATTTAATAATATTTAATTATTCTGATCAATAGGAGTTTAAAGTACCCTTTTTAGATTAGTAGAAGCCATAAAAAGTCAGCTTCACAGAAGAGTATAATTTAGAAGAGTAAAAGTCCACACAAGTCCTTTAATCATGTTGATAATATTCAGGTTAAACCAAAGTACAAACCAAGGTATATCATCATTTTAGTACTTCTTGTTTTCATGCTACATAAAATAATCAGCCCAAATCATAAGAATTAATCAGCTTCAGAATAAGCAACAGGAGTTATTGATCTATGATACAATAAGGTTAGCCTTGTATACGAATTTAATCTGACAGATACTAAACAATCTAATCGCCTAAAAAATTATCTAGAACAAAGGTTACAAAAAACTTTCCAGTTTTGGAAATATATTTGTGTAAATAATTTAAAATGTTATAGTCCTTGACTTATGACCACAATTGGCACCTGAACATCTTTCACTAAGCAATGCTGTAGTTAATACAATTGTGCTCAGCTTTACAACTTTTTTTTGCTGTGGTTTCTAAAAGAACTACATGATTGTGAAGTAAATCTGGCTTCCCCCATTGACTTTGCTTGTTGAAAACCCTCTGTGAGGATCACAAATGATGATCATGTGATTTTGGGAAACTGCAACTGTCGTAAAAAATGTGCCAGTTGCCAAGCACTTGAATTTTGATCACATGATTTGAAGGATGCTGTGGAGGTTGTAAGTGGAAGAATTAGTCGTAACTCACTTTTTGCAGCACCATCATAATTTTGAACAGTCTGGTCCTAAGTCAAGAACTATTTGTAATTGCCCTAAGAACACATTGTTAAGCATATTTAGATCTAATCTAAAAGGAGACCTACTAGACTTTCAAAGTGCCATTTTGAATATCAGAAAAATGGTAGAACTAAGATGAAATTACAAATAGCCAGAAGTAGTAAATCTTATCTAACAAGATAAGATTTATAACAGTGTTAAGCCAAAATTTCTAAACTTTAGCTTGTTGAACGCACGATGATTGCTTTCTTCACAATGCTTGCTTTATACTTTAACGGTATGGCAGTTTTAAAGCATTTCAAAAGGATGTTCAGAAAGACCTGTCCTGAAAGTTTTAAAATCCTCCAAAGCCACTTTACTTTTCTGTCATCTCAGCTATTTTATCTACATGCATGAGGGAATTGGGGGGGGGGGGGGGGGGGGGGGGAGAGAGAGAAAGAATTTTTTTTGAAGCAGCAATAGCTGTCGTGAGTATAAAGGAGGGCAGAGGAAAGATCAGATAATTGACATTGATCAGATAAATAAGACATAAGTCCAGGCCAAGACTGTGGAGATAAAAGAGGGAGGAAGAGAAGCACATTCAGACTTGTAAGGTTCTCTAACTACAGTATAACTATCCTAAGAGCAATAGGTTTAGGTCTTCATGGTGTCTGTTTCTTACTCTGCTCTAGGGCTGACACGCACTGACTTTTCAGAGAATACAGATACTATAACAATTTTTTTTAAAAAAAACTCCTTGTTTCTATCACAACAATTTCTAAGATGATCTGTTGCATTACAATAGTTTGTGTAAATTTATAAGACAATAAAGACTGTGTTAATGTTGCATTTTGCTCTTGTAATTAAATCATTATCGCTGTTAGTTGAATACTGTTTCCCATTAAGTTTTTTTTTTTGTGGGGATGTCTTTTCTACCAATACGTCTGCCACTAATTCCACTGATTTTCCAATGGGACTAATTTCAATTAATATGATCTGCAGGTGAGAGCAATACAGCAAGTTGGATCTGACTGGTTGCGCTTGATTTGAGTATATAAATACTTGATCCTGACTGTATATTTATAGAGATTATTTCATGGACTATTAAGAATATAAAACTAAAAGAATTAAACTATATATTTTGTAATTATAAAATTACAAAGCTTCTAGAAATAAAAAATACCAGAATGAAAAGATTATTAAGAACTATGTAAATATGTTTTTAAATGTGATCTGTAAAAAGATTAAAATACTTGGTTTAATTTTCTCCTTGGTAAGCAATAAAGCCATTACCATTCATGGATTTTTATCTAGTTTTAGAATATCTTTAGGAGCATCACTTCTTTTTTTCTATATATAATATAGCACAGTATGGTTCCTTGTTGACTTGCACATCACACAGAGCTTACATAAATTTCACATGCCTATTTTTTCAGTCATTCACGTCATTTACTTAATTAAAAATATATAGGTTTTGCTTTGTTTATCCCAATATTTCTAGAAAAAAAAAGAAAATGTTATAACTTCAGAATTGTAATTAGCACATTTCCTCTAAAATATGTAAGTCATACTTATAATCAAAATTTCTACAGTATGTGTAAGAAATGTGAATGTTGTCTTTAGATTTCAGTATGTGTAATGTGGAGGCCAAACTTCAAATTGACATGCACTTTAGAATTTTCAGTAGCAACCCCTTTTGATAAAAAAATTATTTTGCAAAAAAGTTTTTTTTCCCATTCCATGGTTTTTAGATAAAGTATGCATTTTCTAGATTTTTTTTTGTTTTAAAGAGCAATCATAGCAGCATGTTACTTTTTTCTTCAGCCTCATGACCACCATCCCACCTCTGCTCCACCATTGGAGTTAGGAGCTTTTTTAAAAAGTATCTTCTGTTTCAGCAGTGACAGAATTCTTACCCATGTGATAAAGTGAGGGCTGTAAATGTTTTGTTTTGTTTGTTCTTAGTGCTTCTCTGAGCTCTCAGAAATGGAGGGAAAAGGGGTGAATTGGAGGCTTTTTGAAGACCTTCCCCTATCCTTGATCTCCTCCCAAAGTGGGATCCATCAAACAACATCCTTTAGATAGTAGTCTTATAAGCTGTGCACCAGTCATTTTGCAATTGGTGAGTCTTCTGCCCAGCTAAGCCCCCTTTTATTTATTTAGACTCCAGAGAACAACTGTTGATGAGACAAATTGAGTCACAGGATTTTATTTTATTTTTTAAAAATAACATTTGCCTTGAAATTTACACAGTGATAACAGGCTATTGCTGTGTCTGTTTTAACCTTTGTGGGCAAAGGTTCTTATGTAGGTTGTGAACCTGGTTTCCTCTCAACTTTCACATTTATCTGGTTCAGTGTCTTAATAGTTTTGAATATCTGAGTTTAATTTAGACCAACACTAAATTTTCTTCACCATATTCATTAGTATCTTTGATATAACTGATTACTATTCGAATTTATTTTCATTATTAAAAAGATTTGTTATGAAAAAAATGGGTTATTGCATTGAAATCTAGATGGACATTTTGTTAAGTGCTTTTTGCAAAATATTCAAAATATTCCAGTCACTTTTAAGCTTTGCAAGATAGTAAATTACATATTTAAAGGATTTTTCAAATATTTTAATATCCTTTAAGCATCCGTTTTTCAGGCATTTTTACTGATAAAATGATTTTAAAAAATACAAAAATGCTAAAAAAAAGCCATGAATCTTCCAAACATATATTTTACAAACCTGATAAGGATAAGCAGTATTGGCCTAATACCAAAAGGAATACTTTGGTGTAAAAAGGTAAGCTTTTCTATAGAGAAGCTTCTGGAAATATTTCTTTCTTGATTCTCTCTCTCTCTCTCTCTCTCTCTCTCTCTCTCTCTCTCTCACACACACACACACACACACACACACACACACACTCCTTGGTACTCCCTGAGCAGTGCTAAAAAGGAGTGAGGTTTGCTATCTATCTATATACCCTTGACTTCTCAATGTTGGTCGGGATGTTATTTTCTCCTTGATTAGACTGTTGTTTACTGCTTGTTTGGTATTAATCCTGGTGTTAATTCCTGTTTATCTGGGGTTTGATTGCTGGTAAGGAGGTGTTATGATCTTTTTGTTTCCTTTTTAGCTTTTGCCTCCCTTGAATGGTATGCATCACTTGTTTATCTTGTTTATCTCTATGTGCTTATTCATAGCTGATTTGTCTGAATACCAGGCTTCCCAGAATTCCCCAGTGTTTTTGGATTTAGCTTTGTCTAGGATGCTCAACTGCAACTATGCTTAAATTGGCCGTGTGTTGTGATTTCATCATGATGTCTGATTGCTAGTGTTCCTGGATGTACCCTGCTAGTCTTCTACCTGTCTGTCCAACATAATGGCACTCTTTTGATTTACTTAAAATGTTTTGGAGGGCTTTAGTTGGCTCGCATGTTAGGATGCAATGTGGTTGTAAATAGTCTATAAATAGTCTGTTGGTTGTTTCTGAGTTGTTTTTGATGTTTGGCAATGTTAATCCTTTTTATAGCTTGCATTGACTGTGTTGTTGTGGTTTGAGTGGTCACGCTCTACTTGATAAAGTTTCATGGGTGTCCATTTTCTTGAAAGATGTTGCATAGGCACTCTTTTTCCTTTTCTAGTGTTCTAGGTTGCTACAGTGCATTTGTGCTTGTCCCACAGCTCCTCTTGTGGAAGGTTGGGTTGTTACTTTGGTATTTGAGCACTTTGATAGTGTGGATGATTTTTTTGATAGACTTCTGTTTCTAATCTGCCGTTATATCCTCTGCTGATAAGGATATCCAAGAAAAGTAGTTATTGTTTTCTTCTTCCCTTGTGAGTTTTATTTCTTTTAAGATTCTGTTGATTGTTTCATGTGTCTCTTCATTCTTTTTTATTATGAAAAAGTGCAATGTATAGTACATACTGGATTCATATTTTTGTTGGAAATACTATAGTTTCTAGATGCTGAAGTTTCTATTATGGGTCCTGTGAGTGGTAATTCTATTGGTGTTTTTCTGATTTGTTGTCTATGCTTGTCCATAAAATTGAAAATAGGTGGTGAAACAGAGGTTGATGAAGTCCATGATCCTGGCTATTTCAAACTTAATGTATTTGCTTAGGTTGGGTGTGTTGTGTAGTGCTGCTGCCATGGATTTTTATCACTAGTTCTGTGTCTGTGGATGTAAAATGTTCTGTGACATCAACTGAAACCATAATCTTGACTTGTTCTATATTAGCCCTTTGATTTTCTGAAGATAGTATAATGGGGAGTTGATAGAATATTTCTTTCCCTGCCTCATCACAGATAGTATGGATGTTCTAAAGGTGACATTAGGAGAAAATGACATGCTAAACAGACCTCTACATGTAGCTGAGTTTCAAGCCAGGTAGGGTTTTATAGAAAAGTACTAAGACCTTGAATTGAGTTTAGTAAAGCATAAGAAATGAGTCAAGTTCTTTTGGTAAGAGCAAGATATATTCTCAAGTCATATTTTATAGGGAAATCAGTTGTACTTAATGAAACTTGTACAGAGAAATACATTCAGAACTTAAAGGTTAAGTTTTCAGATTAATGTGGAAATATTTTCTAGAGCAGATAGAATTTTAGTAACTAAAAATTACTAAATATCATAAAGAACTTGTTCCCATTAAAATAAGCCAGCTTTAAATCAAGTGGCTGAGGATATGGAACTGATGGATAGATTACTGCCTATGCCACTGCGATTTAATGTGATGTGCAAGATAACATATTTTGCTTTCAATCATTTATATTACAATATCTAAACATCGGAACCATCAATTATTTAATAAATAATATTTTATGGATCACGATTTGGCTGCTTACTGAAGGGAAAATATAAAATAACTTGACACTTGTTAGATACTTTTCTTCACTGTCTTGTGTTATAAAATTCAAGAATGTTTGATGTCGAGTGATTAAATATTGTATAGTGTGTAAAGCTGGTCTTTTAAAAATTTCTGATTAGGAGGAAGCTTTACATGCTTTTATTCAGCCTGAGATCCTTGATGGTGCCAATCAATATTTCTGTGAACGATGCAAGAAGAAATGTGATGCAAGAAAGGTAAACACATTTTAACCTAAATAATAAGGTGGGTGTATTAACATATATGAAACGCAATTAATCATTGACAATTGGTTTCCCTTTGTATCTTGCAGGGTTTGCGATTCTTGCATTTTCCTTATTTGCTGACCTTGCAGTTAAAAAGATTTGATTTTGATTATACCACTATGCATAGGATAAAACTTAATGACCGTATGACATTTCCTGAAGAGCTAGATATGGGCTCATTCATTGATATTGAAGATGAGGTAATAATCAGTATTTACTTGAATTATGTTTTAAGAAATACCTTAATTGTTTCTAAATTATAAACTTATTTCATATCAGATTAATTTGAAATTTATTCATAGAATAGGATCAACTGTTGTGGTATTGCCTTTTCTTTCCCCTTTCAAACTTCTTAAATGTAAAACCTAGACTTTGTTTGTGACTGCTACGCATACAGACAGACACACATGCAATAGTGCAAGGTACCAAGCAATAAGGAGAAAACGCAGGCCTTTATATTTCCTGAAGTGGTGTGTATTCTTGCTGTGTATTTGTAAAATATGCTCATCTCTAAGTATTAGTGTGTAGTAAGAGAGAACATATGAATCCATTCATAGATGAACTAAATAAGTCTGTAGCATACTTTTACAAAGGAATTTAATTATCATGTTGTATACAGATATGCAGTGTTGACTCTGCTTTACAATTTCAGTTATTTTGTGAGACAATTTTGTCTTTAATTAGATAATTATTGTGTATAAATCCTTGTTTATAAACTAATACTTATGACTTGTTTTAAGAAGTCTCCTCAAACAGAGAGTTGCACTGATAGTGGAGCAGAGAATGAAGGCAGTTGTCACAGTGATCAGATGAGTAATGACTTTTCTAATGACGATGGCATTGATGAAGGAATATGTCTTGAAAACAATAGTGCTGCTGAAAGAATTTCAAAAGTTGTCAGTGAAAAGGTACCTTATATAATTTTATGCTATTTCAATATGCCTTTTAAAGGTAACATTATTGCATTGTTACATTGTTAAGATTATTACTATGTATTGTACAAAGTAACACAAAATATTGTTTGCCTTACCAAAACTTGTCAGTAAATTGATAGTGCAACGTTAACTGATTTTTCCAGTTAATTGCAAAATAATCTGAGGGGAGGCTATTAAAGCTAAAAAAACAACCCCATGGCCACATACAAGTAATTATCGACTTACAACAGTTCATTTAGTGACCATTCAAAGTTACAACAGCACAGTTTTTTCCTGAAAGCCATCACTCTGGTAAACAAATAATTCCCTCAACCCTGTTCAACTATTACAGAGTCTGCACTACTATTACTGTTAATCTTGTCGTCACTCCTTATCACCCATCCCCTCCCACTTGTGACTGTATGACTGTAACTTTGTCGCTTGTATACTTATGATTTATATTGACTGTTTTCTAGTATGATTTGATTGCTTATTGTACCCTATGACTATCATTAAGTGTCGTACCTTATGATTCTCGACTCTTGATAAATGTATTTTTTCTTTTATGTATATTGAGAGTATTTACACCAAGACAAATTCCTTGTGTGTCCAATCACACTTAGCCAATAAAAGTATTCTATCTTATCTATTTTTCACACTTACGACTGTTAGAACTTCCCTATGGTCACATAATCAAAATTCAAATGCTTGGCAATTGGTTCATATTTATGACGGTTGCAGTGTCCCAGAGTCATGTGATCATCTTTTGTGACCTTCTGACAAACAAAGTCAATGGGGAAGCCAAATTCACATCACAATCGCATTATTAAACAAATGCAAGTATTCACTTAACTCTGGCAAGAAAAGTCGTTAAATGGGGCAAACTCACTTAAGAAATGTGTCATTTAGCAACATAAATTTTGGGCTCAATTGTGGTCGTGACTGAAGAACTACCTGTAGTAGAGATAGCTTTATGTCAATTGTCTGTCTGTCTGTCTGTCTGACAGACAACTAGCTATCTTACAAGAGACATTTTACCAGTACCATAATGAGAACATGAATTACATGATTTTAAAATAATGAATGTCAATAGCTGTTCTCATCGGTAGGAAAATTTTCTAATATAGCAGCAGTTATTTTGCCTAATTGCAGGAAAAGGAAAATAGTGTCAGCTAACAATTCCCAGCAAGGGAAAAAACAAATGTAATATGGAACGTTGGTTTTCATAGCCATATCCAACTTGCTGAAATACATTCTGTGGCCAATTGCTATTGGTGATAGTACCATAGCAAGATGCTGCTTAAATTACAAAAGAGATGTCAAGAAATAAAAATGAACAGATATTATTAGAAGTAATAATATAAATAATAAATGAGCAGGAAATATTAGAATTAGAGTGATTTGTGGGGATAATTTAATATTTAATTTTTATAAAAGTTGTTACATATTCTTATAAATGTTCAGATTTGTTCTGTTTGTTTTGCTTCTTGTTGGGAGCTAGTTATTTCACAAAATGTGAATGCAGTGAATATGCTCTGATATAAATAGGACAAGGAACAAGATATCCTTTTAAATGTTAGTATTAACATTTGCGGGTTTAGGTACAAAACAAAAGGTATGAGATATGAATAGTATGAAAAATACTTAGTAAGAATTAAAAAAAATATTAATTTGAATGATAGAAATATTTTCTGACCAATCTGTATTTTCTATTTTCTCTATTGTACAGAATTCATTACTATATGAATTATTTTCTGTTATGGTTCATTCGGGAAGTGCAGCTGGCGGTCACTATTATGCATGCATAAAATCCTTTAGTGATGATCAGTGGTACAGTTTCAATGATCAACACGTTAGCAAGGTATGTAGTTATAGTGATCCCAACAAGGATCTTGAATGCCTGTAATGAAATAAAACAGCATATAGATTTAAATCTAAGCTGCATGCAGATTTTAAAAACGGCATCAACATGTCCAACAGTGGCCAGGTCAGGAAACAGATTTCTTGATAATGGCTGAAAATCAGCTTTTATTGAAATAGGCTCTAATAACAGATTCTTGAAAACCTAACTAGATGTTCCTTTTCCTCTCGCTTATACTCCAGGGAGCTTAAAGTCAGTTTGTATTTCTTCCTAATGTTTTCTTTATTTTGGTGGGGCGGGGGGTAAAGACATATTTTTGTAACAGTCACTGCATGGTTTTCCAGGCTCATCTCTCTGGCTTTAGCATGGCTAAAGGAAGGGAGAAAAAAATAAGCAGGCAGATTGAGAACAAAACATGTTAATTAACTGTTGAAGGAAAGGAAGGGGGAAATGGAATATTCTTCAGAAAGGAAACTTTGCTGATTGGTATATATTATAATGGTTGCACATATAATGTCTTGCTTATTTTATATAAAGCTTCCACTTTGTCCTAACCTACATAGTATATTGCTGTTTTATTTAATAACTATACATACTTCTAAAGGACTCCATATTACTCTTCTATCACTCAGGAAATGGAAGAAGGTAATGCTGCTGTAATGCAGATGGCATGACTTTAAATTAAATAATAAAACTTAAAACTCTTTAAAGGTCAAATTCATGTAAAGAATTTCATGAGATTTTGCCTTTTTGTGGGAGGCTACCCATTGTTCAACATTGCAATATTCTGTTTTCTTTTACTCTGCTTAGTTCACAGAGAAATATGATTTCCATGTAGATCTTGCTTATGTTTCCTGGAATATTATATAATATGCAATTCACTTAAATTAATGTGTATTACCTTAATTTTCCAATTAGATAACTCATGAAGACATTAAGAAAACTTATGGTGGATCTTCTGGAAGCCGTGGCTACTACTCCAGTGCTTTTGCAAGGTAGTCGATTGTACTTCTGTAGCTGATTAATTTTGCCCTTTTAATGAATTAATACAATTATTTTTTAGTGAATAATTAGTGGCTATATATATTGCACATTCATAAATGATTCTGGTTGATTTACAATGTGTTAGGAATATAAGTCACCTAACAGATATTTGGGTTAGAAATATATAAACCAGGATAAACATTTTAATACTGTATCTTTAAGAGCATGCTAAAAACTGCAATTGGGTGTGGTTTCTCAAACGGCCATAAGATGGAGACAGAAACTTGGGTTGTTTAGTCTTAGTCTCAGAAGAGAGTGTGAGTAAGTCTCTGTTTCCTTCTATCGGAAAGTATTGGCGTTCCTCCATTTTTCCTAATTGACTGATATTCATGGATTTAATGTAAGTCTGATACTGAACTGTTTTTGACACTGGACTTTGTTACTGGATTATCCCTGGTTTGAAAACTGACTGATTTACCTGTGAATGACTTTGGATTGCCTATTTTGGACTTTGCTTAATGTTTCTGGAAGTAAAAACCTACATTTACTGTACAGTGTATCTGTGTGCTGTTTGTGTGTATTATTCAAACACTACTCTCAAATACGTCTCCCTGTATGCGCTCATTCTCCTAACGGGGAATTACCTCAACACAATGCAAATATATAAATTTTTAAAACCCTATATACAGTTATTTTAAAACTAGAAGCATAAAATCCATAAATACCTTGACATTTGTTCAAAACAAGGAATAGAAAGTATCTCACATGTTGAAAGCAGTATTCAATCCATAGCACAGGGTTGGGGGTGCCTTCATTTTTGAAGACCCACAGCAGATTGACAGGCTTTGAGAAAAGCAGGTATCATCCTGGCAACTCTGATCAGAATGGCAGTTGGAAGAGCTCCAGCTGTACCAAACCAAGAGTGATCGGTTCTGCCTCAGGAAGTTAGCCTTAAGGAGCAGATATATTGTAGCCAAAACTAGTCCAGCTGCATTTATAAGTAGCCTGGTGTAGCACCTATAAATGCGCTTCTGTTTTCATTATCTAACATTATCCTTGATTATTTGGCACTTTTGAAATGGCAACTGTGCTTTTATCATACTGTGAAAAGTGAGGCTCCAGATCTTCTGCCTTGACCAATGCAATGTAACTCATTTGAAGCAGAGGACTCTTGTACCTTTAAGACTTATTCTTTGAGGTTTATAGAAATACTTCTGGATTTGTATGTATTTTAACATGCAAGATATAAATACTGTTTTTTGTTTTTTTTATATCACTCCAATAGCTCGACAAATGCATATATGCTTATATATAGACTAAAGGATACAACTAGAAATGCAAGTAAGTACGCATTCCATTATTTACAGGTTGATTATGGTTTTAATGATATTTCTGATGTGATTGAATCACCTCATTTCTATAAAATCTAGCTAGATTGCTTTTCTTTTCTTGAGAGGAGAAAAGTTAATCAAATTAATGGGAGACATATATAGGTTTTTTTTTCTCTGAATTTGATGGCATGCTGCACGAAATAGTTTTTTGAACATGGATTTGGAATGCTGGTAAAATGACTGTTGGAAAGGTATTGGTTCAGATTAGCTGTTTTTGAAGAAAGAGTAAAGCAGTGTTTTGTTTACTAAATCTGATGCACTGAACTAAAAATTTTATTGTTTGATATGTGAGGGGCATATTTTTACAAGTAAGTAGTTAATGTACATGAAAATGCATATTATGTAGACTATTCATAAAGTGTGTGTGTATGTGTATAAGTAAAAGGGAATAAGTGGGTCCATTTTAGCAGTGGATCAATTTCACAAATACTCCTAGACAACATTCCATAAGGCAGGGGTCCCCAAAATTTTGGTTCTGTGGACTGGTGGAGGCTGCTGCTGTGGCGAAGGGGAATGGTTTCATTCATGCAACCTAAATGCTGCACATTCACAAATTAAGGTCACCCACTGCTTTGACAGATCATTTCCCAACAGGTCGTGGCCCAGTAGGTCGTGGCCCTTATGCGTAATTTAAAGTAAGATTAAGTTACAAAATAACAAAATACTTCAAAACCAAGTATTTTTTTTAAAAAAAAACCTCTCATTCTTATTGCATTATTGCATTGGTAGAGTTCTTAGAAGTCAATGAATATCCAGAGCATATTAAACAATTAGTAGAAAAAGAAAAGGAACTGGAAGAACAAGAAAAGAGGCAGCGTGAAATAGAACGTAATACTTGCAAGGTATGTTTTGGCACATTCTACCTCAAAAAACATTTGCTTAGAGCAAAATGAGCAGATGATTTTATACATATTGATAGATGGAGAAAACTGCTTATTAAACAAGATTTATTTTAAGCTTGATGGAGAATATTAAGTTTCTGACTTTCAGCAATGGTTCAGTTTATGATTATATGTTGCTTTGGCATAACACAGTAAGCCACAGTAAGCAAATATTTCATATAATATTTCACTTGATATGGATTAAAATTTAAAATTTTTTTTTTCTTTTATACTTTTTGATGTAGTTTTGAAATTTTGAAAATACTAGGTAAAGTAACAATACATATTCTTGGGATTTTGCTATGTGTTGAAATGTGTTTCATTTCTTCATGTCACCTTTTGAACAGAATCATGTGTATTGTTTATTTATTGATACAGTATTAACTGTGAGATACAATTTGTTGTATTTGAAAGAGTCTTTGAAATGTAAAAGCATATAAGATGATTATGTTTTCCAGATCTTTTTACTTTTAATTGTTGAATATGTCTTTTCTAATAAAAGTGTTCATGCACAAAACATTGTAATTCTTTTATTAAATTAGAACTACTATGTACATTGAAAAATAAGTTTGATATTTTTTCTGTTAATGGCAATTACAGATAAAATTATTCTGTATGCATCCTGTAAAACAAATAATGATGGAAAATAAACTGGAAGTTCATAAAGATAAGACTCTGAAGGAAGCTGTGGAGCTGGCTTATAAGGTACAATATTTTATAGAATAATTGCTAAATTGATCAAGCTCTCAAGGACTACATGAAACTCCACTGTATACATGGGGTTCTTTGATGTCATTTATCTGCTTATTGTTGGTTTTCTGTTTGCATTGGACAATAATAGAATGGTTATTTGTTATTAATAGAAAGATATTGGTTATTTGAGTTATAAACCAAGTTATAAAAATCATTAAATAAATGTTTTTTAAGTATTTAATCTTACTGTAGCTGCTGTTGATATTCTTTATTAATTGAAAGCCATAACAAACCCATTGTAATAAAGGTGTTGGATTAGTATTTGAACTAGAGGGAAGGGAGGATACAAATATAACAAAATTATTACATTTGTGGCAATTGTGCCAAAGAATCTTGCCAGATCACATATTAATGGACAGTAAAGATAATGTGGGTATTATTTTTGGATTAGTGGCCATGCATGTAGTTCTTAGATTTTATTTTTTATTTGTTAATAAACATGACATGTCTGCAGTTGAAATTAGAATGTTTTGCTTTAATTTGGACTGAACACTTCAACAGCATTTCAATAACAATATTTTTCACTTTTGTATGGGTTATAGATAATGGATTTAGAAGAGGCAGTTCCTTTGAATTGCTGTCGTCTTGTTAAATATGATGAGTTCCATGATTATTTGGAACGATCTTATGAAGGAGAAGATGACACTGCAATGGGAATCTTGCTTGGTGGTGTTAAATCGACCTACATGTTTGATCTTCTTCTGGAAACCAGACAACCTGATCAGTCTTTCCAATGTTACAAACCTGGTGGTAAATGATACTTTATAAAATTGTGATTTTATTAATGCAAAACAAAATTATTTTTGATAATCATACATTATAGCATGTATGTTATAGTACATATATTATCTTTAAACTGAGTATTTATGAGGCAAGTGTTCTTTTTAACTTTTTTTGCCATGTGTGATATCTTCTTCGTGATTTATATTTATTATTTTGGCAGAAGTCATGGTAAAGGTTCATGTTGTTGACCTAAAACAGGACACAGTGGCTCCTCCAATTAGTGTCCGTGCTTATTTGAACCAAACAGTTACAGAATTCAAGTATCTAATTTCAAAGGTAAATATCTTACACTTTATTCTTTTTTTCTGAGTTTTTCTTTAGAGTATTAAAAGTGCTCATTTTATCTTGCTTTTCCTGTTACTGTAGGCTGTACATTTACCTGCTGAAACAATGCGTGTTGTTTTGGAACGTTGCTATAATGATTTGCGTCTTCTCAATGTGGCTAACAAAACACTTAAAGCTGAAGGCTTTTTTAGGAGCAATAAAGTAAGATATTTTTTCTTTAGTTTTCTTTCAAAGTATAAATATAAATATTGTATTAATTCAGATTTTCTGCAAAAACATAATTATTTTTACAAAATAATTTCCAGTAATAAGTTTACTATATGTCAGAGAGACAATAGAGTTAATATAATTTATTTGTTCAATCAATTTCTTGATTTACAGATAAGTCATATTTATCCGTAGTTTATGTGCTAAAGATTTTTCCTCGTAGATTTACTTTTTTTTTCATTTTAGGTATTCATTGAAAGTTCAGATTCTCAAGATAGACAGCTGCCGTTTACAGATTCGCAGTTATGGAAACTCCTAGATCGCCATGCAAATACAATCAGACTGTATGTTTCATTACCAGAACAGTCTCCTGGATTACTGTTCAGAAGGACAATATTTCAAAAGGCGAGTGGAGATTCAGGCAATTTAGATGCAAATTGTGAAGCAGGGAAAGGATTTTTATCTAATACAAAATCTGTAGAAGCTATCCTAGAAGAGAGCACTGAAAAACTTAAAACCTTGTCCTTACAGCAACAGCAGCAGGAAGGAGATAATGGTGACAGCAGCAGGAGCACAGAGGCCAGTGACTTTGAAAATATCGAATCTCCTTCCAATGAGGCAGATTCATCAGCATCAACAGAAAACCAGGAACTTGAAAACCAAATACAGGTTTCTGATACAGATAATTTCCAGTCGGAGGAACGGTCAGATTCCGATTTGAACAATGACAGGAGCACAAGTTCAGTGGACAGTGATATTCTTAGTTCCAGCCACAGCAGTGACACATTATGCAATGTTGATAATGCCGCTATATCCTTGGCGAATGGACTTGATTCACACAGCATAACAAGCAGTAGGCGATCCAAAGCCAATGAAGGGAAAAAGGAAACATGGGATACGGCTGAAGAGGACTCTGGAACCGACAGTGAATATGATGAAAGTGGGAAAAGCAGAGCAGAAGCTCAATTTATGTACTTCAAAGCAGAGCCTTACATTGCAGAAGAAGGTTCAGGAGAGGGGCAGAAATGTACGTATGAAATACGGTAATGTGCAAGATGTTTTTCTAGAAACATAGATTGCTTGTTTATTTATTTATATCTATATATGTTGTATACATTCCCACGAAATAGGTTTATACATGCAGGCTTGCTGTTTGCATAAAATGAAAGGTGGTTCTAGATGCTTAGATGTAGATATTCCTTGATTTAACACCACAACTGGGACTGGAATTTAAGGTACTAAGTGATGCAGTTATTAATTAAATAATGTGGTTGTTAAGTGAATCAGTTTATTAAGTGAACCATGCAGCCAGTAAACAAATACTGCTTCTCCCATTGAGTTTACTTGCTGGAAGCTGACTGGGAAGGTCACAGATCATGATCACATGACCACAGGGTGCTGCAACCTTTGTAAATGTGAGCTGGTCGCCAAACACCCAAGTTTTGATCATGTGACTGCGAGGATGATGAATTTCAGGTCATAACTTCAAGGACAGGATATAAGTTACAGATTAAAGTCACTTTTTTCAGCACCATCGTAACATATGTTTGGTACATCATTTAACCATTGTTAAACTAATGGCCATAAGTTGAAGACTACCTATACTACTAGACATGCACATGCATTTAAGGAATTGGAGTAGAATCAAGTTAAATCCAAGAAAAAGAAACTGCATCATTTTTCAGTAGAGAATGCTGTGATATTGAGGCTTTAATTTATGGCTTCCTCTGTTGATTAGAAAAATTTGGGGGAATACTGCCAGAAGGAAGCTGCTGCGTCCATCTGATCCACAATCAGAGAATAAGTCCGATCTTTTTTTTTAATAAGCAGAGGAAGCTATAAAAAAATGGAGGAAACAGTTCTGTACATACTACTTTGGGGAACTAAATGAAATGCAGTATCTAAATCAATAAACTTTAAGGCAAGAATAGTTAATTCTTCAAAGTTTGGCAATATATTTGTTTTGGGAGAAGATTGATTTTTGCCTATAAATTGTTAACAAGACCATTATGCATCTGTGACACCATGTGCAGTTGCAAAAAATGACACTTTCTGAAAATTTATAACCGCATTGAGTATAAACTGAAGGTTAAAAAGAAGGCAATTTCAAGATGCAGTTTAATTGTAATGCATAGTTTTAAACATACTATTTTTTCATTAGACAGACCTCTATATGTGTGTGTGTGTGTGTATGTATATGTTATTCAGCTTTGTTCGGGTATTTTCCCACGTCATTGTAGTTGTGCTTTTAAAGTTGTAGCAACGTTTCGGCAGAATCTCATCTGCCATCATCAGGCTTCTGTATATATACATACATACATACATACATACATACATACATACATACATACATATATACACACATCATACATACATACATACATACAAACATACATACATGTATAAAATCTTACACATGCCCCAATCACCTGTTGTACAATTTCCTTACATAGAATACAGAATGGATGTGATACCTGGCTCTGATAACTTGAAGTCTTATAACTTGAAACTAAAGAAGAAAATGGAATATGTGTTTCTATTAATAAAATTGTATTGGTATACATGAGGCATAAGAACTGAGCTTGTTTTTCAAGTTAATATTTTTTCTTGATTTAGGGTTGTTGATTCATGTTGATAAAAGAATTACACTCTCTGCCTTCAAACAACTCTTGGAGCCATTTGTTGGAGTTCCATCTTCTCAGTTTAAGGTCTTTCGAATTTATGCCAGCAGTCAGGAATTCGAGAGTGTCCGGTTGAATGAGACTCTTTCATCCTTCTCAGATGATAACAAGGTTAGCAAAATGTGCTATTGTATACTAGTGGAAAGAATTTAGAATGTAATGATTGGCTCAATTATTTCTCAGGAAAATCTTTTGTTGTTTTAATATAGTGAGGTGGTATTTATCTTTTTAAAAAATCTTACCAAGTACAACTCAATATCTAACATTTTGTATACAAGGCAGCTCTTATTTAACATCCACTCATTCAGTGATTTTCAAAATCACAATGGCACTAAACGAGAGTACTTATGATGAATCCTTTTAGTTGCAGCCCCCACAGCTTCCCCGTGGTCATGTGATTGTGGTTTGGGCAGTTGATAACTGGCTCACAATTACAACAGTTGCATTGTCCCACAGTCCCATGATCACCATTTGTGATCTTCACTGCCAGTTTCTGACAAACAAATTCAATAGGGAAGCCAGCAAGAGATTACAAATAGCAGTTGTGATGATGGGACACTGAAACCATGCAGGATTCACCTAACGGACTGCCAGAACTGCTGTTAGTCTTAGCAAAGGTCCCAGTGGTAAGTGAGACCTACTTGTATATTTATTAAATCTTCCCAGTGCACTGCAGTTACAAAATACTTATTGCAGAGTTTAAATTGTTCTTTGTTATTATAGTTGGATCATGGAAAGTTGAATGGATAATAAAAGAAACCTCATATCCCACATCAATGAGAGGCCAGTAGATGCTACTTTCATAATTCCTGCATTTTGAATTGCCTCTTTTGAAATTTATTCCATAGCCATGCTGTTCAACTATTTGAATCTGGAGATGGTTGTGGTTTTTTTTTTTTTTCATTTTTAGTCAAACAAAAATACAGTCTCACTGGTTTCTCACCCATATCTACATGCACACCCTATTATTCACCTTCCACTGGGTCTCTTGACACTGAAGGAACTTTAAGAGATTTGTGAAATTATAGAGGGATGGTGGGAAGATGGTTAAAAGTAATCAGTATTGCATGAATTTAGTTAATGCCTGCCTGCATCTCATTCTTTTTCCCATAAAGTTTTTGCCTTCATTCAAGAGTAATCCAATATTTTTATACGAACAAGTGTAAAATGCTTATGCTCACAATTTCTGAGATGGTTATCCATAAGGCATCCAGTTTTCTCAAATTTGATTATTGAATTTTGAAGTTCAATAACAAAAACATTTAATGGTTGTTTAACTGCCAGCATTCTGTGTAAAGGATAAGAGACAGGTAATATCTTGCAAGCTTTTTCTTTTTTCTTTTTTAATTTAAAGATAACTATCAGGTTTGGAAGAGCACTAAAGAAAGGGGAATACAGGGTCAAGGTTTACCAACTTTTGGTGAATGATCCAGAGGTAAGTAAGATGTGAAACTCTTAAAACATCTTGAACAACATAACTGTTAAAAAGTGAATCTCCTACATCCAATGTAGCCAATAGCTGAGAAGTAAGATTTAACAAAAGCTACACAGCTCCAATATGGGCATTATATCACTAGCAAGTTTTAGAAGCAGTTAACAAAATAGATTCTCTGAGAAATATACTCTTACACTCTAATTCACAATTTTTCCAGTATGTATGCATATTGTTTTGATAGGACATCACTCTTTAGAAAAGCAGAAAACTGTTGTATGAGTTGCCAAAAGATAACTTCTGACATTTTCATCTGATTTCATGAGGAGGACATTCTGATATTCTAGTTAAAGACTTTTAAGTTCTCCCCACTTCCTTGCGGGGATATTTAAAGAATTTTATGGGCGAGAATAGAAGTGAAATGTTCATTAAAGCAATAATTGGAAAGCATTTTTAAGTAAAAAAAAAGGTTGCATTCATATGTTTGCATGAATTCAAACCTAAAGGTAGTTGCTAGAATAAAATGTTTGTAAAATAATTATTTTTAGCTAAATTATCAGAATAAAATGTATTTTAAAGAAAGGAAGTTGCAGTTACTTGAATCATAAAGCATCCAGGCTATCAGATTTTTTCAGTATCTGGTTTAGGTGCCAGGTCTCCCTGTTAATATTTTCTAGCTACACAAAATAATAATATCCAGTTTCTTTTCATTGTTAAAGGATCGTGGACATATATGTCTGATGCACAGGAGTACTGAGCCTTTAGTGGAAGGTTGAGATGCACTATTAATAACATATTATACATAATATTGGCACATAAAATATTTTGCATAATTTTTGTCTTTGTAGCAACCCTTTTACTCCTCCTTAGACAAGCCATAATTAAAATTAGAAGCTTCTTTGATTACTAAATTCTAAACCATCAAACCAGGGTCTGTGGCCAGAAGGACCTTTTGGCTGGTGCACCAGTTGTGGCCTTAGCTAGAACAGGACACTCTGAATAGATATTCTTGCCTATTTCATGTCATGTCTGTATTTCTGAGATCTGATGTACATGGGGTTGTCCTTGAAAAACACCTGAACACTTCAGCCTGATACATTCTGTTTTTGAGGACGATTTAAGACTTTTCTGATTATTTGGAAGCCTTATATGGCTCCATACCTGGGTATTTTGAAGGGTGCTAATATAAACTATATCCTGTTCCTCAGTCTGGATAAATAGGGAGCGCCTCTTGAAGTGTGATACCAGGGAATGCAGAGGTAGGCATTCTTGGTAGATGCTTCCCTCTTTTGAAACAGTTTACCACAAGAAAAGAATGCCTTCCCCAGTCTCAGCACCTTCCAGAGAATAATGAAATAATTAAAAACAAGAGTTTTTTTTCTAGAAGGCCTTTGAAAACGCAATAACTAGAAAAATATCCACACTATTATGGCTTCAGTTTTGAATGGTTTTTTATTATATTTTATTATATTGTGTGCTGTACTTGTACTGTCTTTACCTAGGCGATCTGGAATGAGCAGATTTATAAGTCAAATAAGTAATCCATACTTACTACTTTTTTGTGTCCTAATACTCTTTGTATATACACTGCTCAAAAAAATAAAGGGAACACAAAAATAAGACATCCTAGATCTGAATGAATGAAATATTCTTATTAAATACTTTATTCATTACATAGTTGAATGTGCTGACAACAAAATCACACAAAAAATATCAATGGAAATCAAGTTTATCAACCCATGGAGGTCTGGATTTGGAGTTACACTCAAAATTAAAATGGAAAAAAACACTACAGGCTGATCCAACTTTGATGTAATGTCCTTCAAACAAGTCAAAATGAGGCTCAGTGGTGTGTGTGGCCTCCATGTGCCTGTATGACCTCCCTACAACGCCTGGGCATGCTCCTGATGAGGTGGCGGATGGTCTCCTGAGGGATCTCCTCCCACACCTGGACTAAAGCATCCCCCAACTCCTGGACAGTCTGGTGCAACGTGGCATTGGTGGATGGAGCAAGACATGTCCCAGATGTGCTCAGTTGGATTCAGGTCTGGGGAACGGGCGGGCCAGTCCATAGCATCAATGCCTTCATCTTGCAGGAACTGCTAACACACTCCAGTCACATGAGGTCTAGAATTGTCTTGCATTAGGAGGAACCCAGGGCCAACCGCACCAGCATATAGTCTCACAAGGGGTCTGAGAATCCCATCTCGGTACCTAATGGCAGTCAGGCTACCTCTGGCGAGCACATGGAGGGCTGTGAGGCCCCCTAAATAAATGCCACCCCACACCATTACTGACCCACTGCCAAACCAGTCATGCTGGAGGATGTTACAGGCAGCAGAATGTTCTCCACGACATATCCACGTCTGTCACATGTGCTCAGTGAACCTGCTTTCATCTGTGAAGAGCACAGTGGCGAATTTGCCAATCTTGGTGTTCTCTGGCAAATGCCAAACGCCCTGTATGGTGTTGGGCTGTAAGTACAACCCCCACCTGTAGACGTCGGGCCCTCATACCACCCTCATGGAGTCTGTTTCTGACTGTTTGAGCAGCCACATGCACATTTGTGGCCCGCTGGAGGTCATTTTGCAGGGCTCTGGCAGTGCTCCTCCTGTCCCTCCTTGCACAAAGGCGGAGGTAACGGTCCTGATGCTAGGTTGTTGCTCTCCTACGGCCTCCTCCACGTCTCCTGATGTACTGGCCTGTCTCCTGGAAGTGCCTCCATGCTCTGGACACTACGCTGACAGACGCAGCAAACCTTGCCACAGCTCGCATTGATGTGCCATCCTGGATGAGCTGCACTACCTGAGCCACTTGTGTGGGTTGTAGATTCCGTCTCATGCTACCATTAGAGTGAAAGCACCGCCAGCATTCAAAAGTGACCAAACCATCAGCCAGAAAGCATAGGAACTGAGAAGTGGTCTGTGGTCACCACCTGCAGAACCACTCCTTTATTGGGGATGTCTTGCTAACTGCCTATGCTTTCCACCTGTTGTCTATTCCATTTGCACCACAGCATGTGAAATTGATCGTCAATCAGTGTTGCTACCTAAGTGAACAGTTTGATTTCACAGAAGTGTGATTGACTTGGAGTTACATTGTGTTGTTTAAGTGTTCCCTTTATTTTTTTGAGCAGTGTATATCCTCCTTTCCTTTTCAAGTACACGTGGACACCACAAAATTCACTGCTGCTGGCAGGCAAAAAATCTTTATTGATATATTTTGTGCAAAAAGAAAGTAGGGATACTTACAGTGCGAAAGCTTTCTAACAAGTTACCCATTTAAAATGTGTTTTCACAGCCCTGCAAGTTTCTTATAGATTCAGTTTTTGCTAAGGGAATGACTGTGCGGCAATCAAAAGAAGAGTTACTTCCTCAGCTCAGGGAGCAATGTGGGCTGAATTTGACTGTTGACAGGTAAACATCATTAAAGTGACTCTCAAACTTCTTATTTTGACAATTGAAAAAGGTTCTGAAATAAGAACTGTTGACCTTATCATGCTTAAAAAAATAGTCATACATTTATTTTGTTTTGGTCTTTTGCTACAAATAAATCATTATACTCATGTTTTATTTTATTGTTATTACTGTGTTTTGTTTCATAACTGAAATGAACCAGCATTTATTGACACTTTCTAAGATGTAGCACACCGGAGTAATCTTTGCACCAATCTTTAAAAAACCAATACTTTATAGATTTTCTAAGAAAAAAATTCTTTGGGGTTTTTTTTTTCCTTATAAAATGAAGGAACCTGACTGAAAATTTTAATTTGCTGCTTTTAGCTCTGGCTTCTTAGGTTCTTCTGATAAAAACATGTCCTGTGCCTATTTCGGGAAAGCACTATATCTAAATTAAATGTGGTTATGACTATATGTTATATATTAGTTTATAAACTTATAATAATACTTTCAACTACTTTTTCTTCTTCTTCAATAGATACCGCCTAAGAAAGAAGACTTGGAAAAACCCAGGAACTGTATTTCTGGATTATCATGTCTATGAAGAAGATATTAATATTTCAAGTAACTGGGAGGTTTTCCTAGAAATACTTGAAGGTATCAGTACTTTGAAGTCAATTATTTTAATTAAGCTTCACAATGTTTTTAAATTATATAAAAGTTAACCGTGTTACCTTAAAAGTAAACTTTAAAAAAAATAGAGTGCAATTCCATATACATGTAGTGAAAAATAAATCCAGCTAAAGCCTGTTGACAAATATTAGGGTTAGATTTAGTGAAGCAACAGAGTGTGTTTCTAAAATTTTATTGTAGCTCAGAATGTAAAGTTGAGAGGCTTTAGGAAAACATTTGGCTGCATGTAGAATGTGTTAAACTAGGGATATGAATCGAGTAAAAAATATAGCATTATCCAAGATGTGAAGAAAACTTCTAGACTTTAAACATTCATTTCTATAAAATATCAATTCAGATTTTCTAATCTGCATTTAGGTCCATTTTCTCCTAGATAGTTATATTTTTAATGGATCTCCAACAGTGGTGGAATTCAATTTTTTTTACTACTGGTTCTGTGATCGTGACTTGGTGGGCATGGCAGGGGAAGGATACTGTAAAATCTCCAGTCAGAGGTGGTATTTGCTGGTTCTCTGAACTACTCAAAATTTCTACTACCGGTTCTCCAGAACTGGTCAGAACCTGATGAATACCACCTCTGATTTCCAGTCCCAAATTGCTGGAAATTGGGATACTACTTATTTGTCTTGGAACTTGCCCAAGAAAAGGTGCTTCATCCCTCCCATGAGAGAAAAAGCAAACTAGATCAAGTTGAAGCTATCCTTTTCTTCGTTTAAAAGCATACTTTCTCACTCATGGTTGGATCTTGATCCCTTATTTAGTGGATAACCTCTTTCTGCTACATCGTGACAGATCAGATTGGCTTTCCTTTAACTCTTTAATATCTCAAACTTTGGGGATGAGATTTCTCCCCATTTAGTATAGATAGCAACAGTTTTTTTATGTGGTAACCTGAAAACTCAGCAACAGTACAAATGCCCAATTTATACATACACACAAAAAAACAGGCATCAGAATTTTTTTCTTATTCAAATTAGTTCTGAATCTTTCCCTCATTCTCATCCTCTCTAGTTATATCAGTCATGGAAGCAGATATGGATCTCATGCTTGCAATTTTATTAAATAATTAAAAGTAAATCATTGTTTACTTTTCAACCTTCCATTTGAAGTTTAACTATTTATCTTTTCTTTAAAAAAAAAACCACTGAGTCAAAAAAGTTGGTGGTGGAATAGTTTAAAACATATGATTTAAAAAATGCTACATTTATACTCCAGAACTTCAGGTGGAATATTTTAAAACATATGATAGAAAATGCTACATTTACACTCTGGAACTTCAATTGTTTTTTTCTAAGCTTGAAGCAGTCAGACTAGCTATTTTGAATTTAAAATATACACTCAGCTTAGAATGAAATACCCAGATCATGAGCATCACAGTTATTTATTGTCAAATAAATTTAATAAATAAAATTTATGGAGGTTTACTGGATTAAGGGTTCAAATTTGAAACAAAATTAAAAAAAAAAAATAATATTTTGGGCAAGACTGTGCTAACCAAGCTTGTTGATTTTTCTGCAAAGACTTATTTTTATTTTTTTCGATGTATTTAATTTATACAATCACTATAAACATGACAATCTGCACTCTTAAAGAAAATGCTGTAAATAAACATTTAAACATCGCTTCCTGAAATATTTTACTGAATCCCTTTACATCCCATATGACTTTTAGAAGCAGAAAAAATGAAATCTATGTCACAACTTGCTGTTCTGTCAAGAAGATGGAGGCCATCAGAGATGAAACTGGATCCTTTTCAAGAAGTAGTTTTAGAGAGCAGCAGTGTTGATGAATTAAAAGAAAAGGTAAATTAACCTCATTTATATAAATATCCCTCTCTTACAGAATTCATAGTTACTTTCTTTTGGAAAACTCTACTATCTTCAGAGTCACAGTGATTATTAAAAGAATATTTTGGGGTTTACTGGCAAATTCAGACATTATGCTGGGCCATAGTGTAGCAAGAGTTATACAATATGCAAAACCAACTTTCCCCAGAATTTAAGCAAAAATAGCAAAGCTGTTATCTCAAATTATCGAACTCTTTAATAATCTATATAAGTTAAATAAAATTTTGCTTACTTTTAAGAGATTTCTGATAGAAATGTAAGTCAGAGTGAGGATTTGGAAGCCATCTAGTCCAAGCCCCTACTCAGTTCAAAATCTGCTAAAGCATCTATTCCTTATTCTTTAAGCACATAAATTGGGAAACAGTCAGCAAGAATATATGAAACTTCATATATCTTATCTTTTGGAAATAAACTCATTTTGATATATATTTTCACAGCTTAGCGCAATAAGTGGAATCGTCTCAGAAAATATTGAATTTGCAAAGGTAAGTTATTTATTTCTTCAAGCTGCTGAATGTGATTCAGATTTCCTCTCAGCTGAGCTTTGTTCAGAAAATGCTGATCAAATACTAATGGGTATCCCCTTTTTCTGCTATAATACCTGAATTCTCTGAAGGAGATATTGGTGAAATTGGGCAGGGGGAGAAGAAAAGACATTCTCTCCTATCAGTGCTTGTCTCTTTAATATATGAGCGGGTAAAATACCCATCAATTGGCTAGGCCATTTGATTTAATTTTTTATTTCATATAGCATTGGAAAATGTAATGAAGTCCTAGCTAATCACCTACATCTCTTTGAAGTTCAAGCCTGCATTCTTTCACAGTACAGAAGCCTGACTGAATGGAGAAGTGACAAATTGGCTTTTCCTGGGAGGACTGAGGGAGATTGGGGAATGGATTTATTACACTAAACTGAAAAATGTGATCAAGTCATGAATTTGAGAAAGGATTGATTTGGAAATAGAGACATAAATGAAAAACAATATTGATTATGGTCATAGCACACCTATATTTTGAGTATGTATACTTGTGTTGGGTCATAACATACATAGGTATGATTATTATATGCCACCCAGAGTTGCCTTTAGCGAGATGGGTAGCTGTATAAATCAAATATATCGGTATAAATACATATTTTACTAAGATACTCTGTTTCTCCTTTCCAGGGTAGAGGGACATTTCCATGTGAGATCTCCATTCTAGAGATACATCAAGATTTGGACTGGAATCCGAAGGTTTCCACACTGAATGTATGGCCTCTCTACATTTGTGATGATGGAGCAGTAATATTTTATAGGTATATCCATTTATGTCATTACCTCCTATATATTGAAAAACTGCAAAAATTTCCAATATGAAAAAACAGTAGTTGTAGAAAAGTGCTTTAAATAAATCAGAAATTAGAAATTACTCAGGAAGGAATCATATATTGTTCATTTTCTGACTGCATTAGTTTGAATCTCTTTATTGTCAGAATTTTGCATTTCAACTGCTTACTTAGGGAAACAGAGTATAAACATTTTGCTCTTTAGGAGTGAAATTTTTAAGAATAAAACATTTTACTCAATGTTTTCAAGATACATATAGCTGTAGGCTAGCATAGTCTAAAATGATTTGGAGTTTATGCCTACTACTGGATTTGAAGCTAAGCAAAGGTAATACAGAAATAATATTTAATATAAATTTAATCAGTATTCAAGAGATATGTATGTGCTGCTTGACTGCAAGGGTCCTGGTAAATGCTATACGCTCAGAGAAGAAGGAATTCTGAACAAGCTTCATAGCTTTTACTGGACAGGAAGACTCAGCTCAGTGCAGTTGGTCTCAAAGGTATCCAGGGTCTGACTTGTGGTCCGCCAGTAGCTTGCAGAGACAGCAGCAGAATAGAACAGTGGGGAAGAACATTGGCAAGTCTGGGGAGGACTCAGACGAGAGTCCTGCGTCCAAATACAGAGATGGGGCCAGGGCCATCTGGGAGTTATGTGCTGGCTCTGGAGCCTCCAGAATCTGACAGCAGCAAGGCAGAGGAACAAGGGGAGTCTGCTCCCAGTTTGCATGTGCGTAGAGCTGCCAGAAGGCAAGAGCAGCTAAGACAAGGGACAACTCGGGAGTAAGGCTTTGAGGTGATTGCTTCTCCCATAAGATTATAAAGGAAGTGTAAAGAGACAGGAATCTTTGCATGAAGCAACATCGTTTGTTCTGTTCGGATTAAACCTTGAAGCTCTGTGTGGACTTTGTACTTCAATTAGTTTTTTATAGTTAATTTGGCACTTTAGTTGTTGGCAGCAATTCAAAGGAGATAAAGGTGAGTGCTTATCTTGAGAGACTGAGTTGTTTGGACTAAGCGTGTGCTTAATTACCGTCTCAGGAAGCCTTGATCAGAACATGACCCTTAGAGGTTTTCAAGGTGATAACCAGTATTTTTAATTTACCCAGAAACAGATTGGCAGCCAAGCTGGCTCCTGTTGTACTGGTATCACATGGGCAAATATAGGTGTTAATTATCCTAGGTACCATATGTTGTAGCAGCTGAAGCCTTCAAATAGTATTCAGCAGGAGCCCTACTGAATAATGAACTGCAACAGGCCAACCACAATGTGATGGGGGCATTGGTGATTGTGTACAATGCTCCCTGATCCAGGAATAGTACTTTAGATAAAATTATACAAAGGTCCTACTAGCCATGGCCTCCATATGCTGTTCAAGCAGGAGCTGTGAAACCTAGAAGATCTCCAGGTTATAAGCCAGCTGTACTGAAATAATTTTAAGTTTGCTTTGTTTTTTTCAAATACACGCAATTATATAGCATTTGTGGAATCTACCACTTTACATTATTGCCAAGAATAATGTAGTTTAGAAAATGACCAGTTACCGGTTTGCTAACTTACTCCTTTTGGATCTTTGGATAGCAAACATCTTTTCTAATTTTCCATCTTTTCTCTGAACTGGCTGTTCAGTACAGCATTGTCATTAAGAGCTGTAAGGTCTTGGCTCTGTCCCAAAATTAAGTGAAATGTGGGTGATTTTATCTTGTCCAGAAGGTGTTTTATGTGTTAGGACAAAAAAAATGTACACCGTCTAGTTAAAAATGTGCAAATTTGTGTTTGTTGTAGAATTTAAATCCTTTTTTTTTTTTTTTAATATAAGGGATAAAACCGAAGAAATGGTGGAACTAACTGAAGACCAGAGAAATGAACTCATGAAAAAAGAAAGCAGTAGACTTCAGAAAACTGGACATCGTGTGACCTACTCCCCTCGTAAAGAAAAAGCACTAAAAATATATCTTGATGGAGCGCCAAATAAAGATTTGACTCAAGACTGATATTTATTTCAGCATTTTCTCTGGGAAATTTTTCTTAAGTATGAAAAAGGTACACAACTACTGTGTAGTGCCATTATGGCAGGACATTAGGTATAAAGAAGAGGCATCAGCACTGATTGGTAAAGGACAGCGCAGTCCAGTTCAGTGCCCAGTCAAGTCCCCGTTTGACTTGGAATCATGTTGTGCACTATAGTCAAATGTACTGTAAAGAGAAAAGGGATGTGCAAATAAAAACCCAGAAAAGCATAGTGGGGGAGGGTAATTGGCAAAAATTGGAGATAAATGTGCACATAGCAGTAGCTAGTCAACTAGCCACAGACAGGATATTCATAGCTTAATAAAAGCTGTGCAAAGGCCATGAATGATTTTGTTTTTGTTTTTCACTGATACACACATTACCTCACAGATGATTTCTGAAGTAAATGTGACAGTGGTTTTTATAAAAACAAAGATGTGGAAATGGACTAGAAATACAATGAAATTGGCAAACTTGTCCCTTAAAGCTTACAGGTTTAACTTAAGTCTCATTGGACTCATCTTCCATGAAGCAAAGACACCTGGAGAAAAAGTATTTTTTAGTAAAAACTTACCATTGCCAGCAGGTGGTGTTTATTTTGCAGAAGTGTTGTAACTGATTTTTAGTTAGGTTATGAATAATGGCAATGTCACTATTCTGTTCAGTGTGTAAATACTGTTTTGCTCTCCTGAGTTACCAGAAATACATTTCAACTGCTTACTATGGTATTTCTTTCCACATAACGATATTCACTGTGTACATTTAAGAGTATAGCTGGCTATTTAAATTTGTATCCCTTTTGTTTTTGAGGGCAATGTTGGGTACTTAGATTTGTAATGTTTCCTTGTTAATGAGTTTCAGGGCTTTTTGTTTGGTTAGCTACTTATTTTTGTACATTTTTGGACTGGGATTCTTTTGAGTTTGCTTTTTCTAGCATCATTGCAAATCACATTTTTTCTTGAGAGTTGATTCATAGTTTTTACATGTAGCTTTTTTTAAATGAATGCCCTTCATTTAACACCTCCCAATATAGTTTGCAGTAGTTCAAAATGTGGTACAGATTGATGCATAAAATATGATTTCATTGCAAAGCATATATGAGATTTAATTTGCTACATAAGAGCAATTACAAACAATATCATAGAGGGGTTTCTTTTTCTTTTCTTTTCGAAAATGCTATCTAATTTATATCAGTCAAAGCTTTTGGTAAATTTTTCCATGCCAGATGCTGTTTACAACCATGAACATGCAAATAAAACATTTGTTCATTCTATTGTTACTTTAATGACACTTTGAATTTTATTGTAATAGTCAAAATACAGAATTGTTTTGCAAGAAATTCTTATGTAGACAGAAGAAAAGCCTTTTGAATTGACTTCCAAATGTTTGTTTGCTGGTGGATCTTAAATTGCCATGAATACTTGCAGCTAATTGTGGAAAGATGTCACAGGTATTTGAATATGTGAAGCTTTATATATGAAAGAGCATCTGTGGCGCAGTGGTTAGAGTGCAGTACTGCAGGCTACTTCTGCAGCCAGCTGCCTACAATTAGGCAGTTCAAATCCCACCAGGCTCAAGGTTAACTCAGCCTTCCAAGGTGGGTAAAATGAGGAGCCAAATTGTTGGGGGCAATATGCTGACTCTGTAAACCATTTAGAGGGCTGTAAAGCACTATAAAGCTGTATATAAGTCTAAGTGCTATTGCTATGCTATTTATTCTGCACAGGTGCCAGTGCTGCACAAAATCTGACTAGTTTGTGTTTAATTTCTTTTCTAATTCATGAGGGATCTGGAACTGAGGCATATACATATTCAGAGAAAACATGAATACAGTTCCTAGTGAGACCTTTGTGATAACAACCAAAGATTGGAGAATATAGACAGATGTTGTAGATAAGGCCAGTATTCATTCCTACAATGTTTGAAACTGTCACTCAGACAAAATTTGACCAGGACTCCAATTTATCTTAAAGGATTAGACAACGCTGCTAAAAATATAAGGGTTGGAAATAATATTTCTATGGCATAGTAAGATGGTTATTTAAAAGAAAATCAAGAAAAGCTCTACTTTTCCAATATTCAGATACTCCAAAACAAAAAACAAAAAAATACCACTCTATAATTGCATTTTCCTGTTCATGGAACTGTGAGGATTTGAAGAAACTACGTAGCTATGGCTGATTGGACCTGTACTGTGGAGAAGGTATACATCCTAAAACACTCAAATGATCAGCTTTTTATGTGTGCGTGTTGAGAGAGAGAGCGCGCCTGGGGTTCAATCCTCACGGGCTCAAGGTTGACTCATCCTTAATGGGGCCCATATTGTTGGGGGCAATATGCTGACTAAATCGCTTAAGAGGGCTGTAAAGCACTGTGAAGTGGTATGTAAGTCTAAGTGCTATTTATAAATACCTGTAGATACACGTTTTACATGTCTTGCCATGAGGAGTGTTCAGTTTTATTGCAGTACAACCCATCCAATTTCAGCCATATTGTCATTCAGGAAATGTTCATTCCAAACCAAGATGTGAAGCTACCACTTCTATCCGGTGTAATCAATATAACTAAAACAGTTATCCTATGCATATATACCAAGTTCCTATAGGTTCTGGTAACAAAGTACATAGCATCCTTCAATATCATTGAGCTTTTAAGGAGAAAATAGCTGGAATCTCTTTTAAAGAAGCAATATATACAGGAAATACATAATTCAAACCACTTGACTTAATTCAATCCTAACTCTTAACCAGCTCAAAACAGTACTTAAAAGGTAGAGATCTCTACCCATTATACAGTATTTAGCTTGAGCTTTAGAAGAATAATCTATTTTCATTAATCTATTTAAGTGGACTTAAGTGCACTTCTATGCAGCAGAGAAGAGGTGCAGGTATACCATGTGTGTATAATAACTCTTGAAACAGCGATAATAGTGTACGTGTGGTCAATTAACTTGTTCGACTTATATTTCCTCTCCAAAAAGGTCACTAGCCATAGCTAAGTTTTCTGGATCAGTCACTCCATCTTCCAGTTCTTTCTGCACTTTCATCAGTCTCTCTTCATATTCACCAGGAATATCTTGAGTTACAAAATCCAGAAGGGATAATTCATCCGCTAGTAGTTGTTTTTTGTCCTCACTTTGAGTCTTGTTCCGTGATAATTCACAAAGAGAGTCGCTGCTATAACTGGAAAAAACAAATTCCAGGTTTCAGCATTGTATATTGGTATTAGTTGGACAAATATGTATATGGTTAAAAATTACATGTTTCAATGTACCTACATTTAAACATTCTAACAACATTTAAACTGGCTTTATGTCCCTTAAATGTTCTTTTTACAGTTTAGACACAAACCTTTAATCATGAGTACATGTCAATGTAACCTGAACATGGCTTAACAATTGGACTGGTTATGCTGTGATTTAACAGAAAGGAAAACACTACAGAGATCTTGGCTTTTGGAATTCTTTCCAGCCACTTAATAAAAGCTCTGCTTCGGTTCTTGTAACTAAGGGGTGGGGGGTCTAACAATATTCTGACCATGTGCTTCTCTCTAAAGGACGAATTGGGGGATTTCCATTTTATTTTATTTTTTTACTGGGCAGCTTTTAGTCTTACATGGCCCACTCAATCCCTACCTTGACAACCCATATCTGCAAACAATACCCATACTGAAAATCTGAGTTGCATGACGAGCTACCGAAATGGAAACAGCATTCATTATAGCCCTTATTAAATCTCAGTGCAGCAACTCAGAGACTGATCTGTTTACCTCACAGGATAACAGGCCATGCCTCATTTTTCATAGGAAGGAGAGGAGGGAGAATTCTCCAGTCTCTGTAACACCTCTTTTCTTGAAACATTCTTGTTTTACATGTTCCCACACATTACATACTCCTTAGGATCAACAGAGATTCAACTGCATTTTCATGATACCTGTTGACATCAGGATGAGGTAATGCAGGCTATTATGTTGGTTTCTTGGAAGTTTTGTTCTCTAGCAAACTCGGGAATTAAATCATAGGAAAGTTTTGAAGTTATTTTACATCAGTAAATAATTCATTCACGCTACATTAGATGTGAAGATAACTCTTGAAGTATAACTTGATAAAATGTAGACAACATAATGAGCAATATAGAAAACCTAATAATACTATGAATTAACCATGTTAAGAGAAGGAATCCTCTTTACAATCAACGGCTATGGCCTTCAAGTGGAGTTATACTAATTTAAAAGTGCCATGGAAGTCACATACTAATGCCATGATGACAAACTTATGGCACACATGCAGAGCCTTCTCTGCGGGTACGCAAGCTGTCGCCCCAGCTTAGCTCTGCCGTACATGTGTGCACACCTCCCATCGGCCAGCTGGTCTTTGGGTCTCTGCCGCGGATGGGGGGGGGCGCATCCAGGCGACACACACACGTGTGGGGTGCAGGGTACATGCAAGAGGGCTGGGGTGCACACACAGGGTATTTTGGGGGTTTGCGCACGTGCTTTGAGCACTTGGTGTTGAAAAGGTTACCCATCACTACTAATGCTTCCAAGGAACATGATGTGATTGATCTTTATGACCTTTGTGGACAGTGATGCAAGTGACAATAGTGATCCTCCATCTGGGATTGATGGCATATTCAGGCATTTTATACCAGTAGAATAAAATTACATCTCTTAGCAATCACTACCTTTGACTCAGTTTGAAAATTTAGGGCTATGAACCTTAGTCTGATTTGTAACTCAGTAATATTAATAATTCCCTGCTGGACTACTTTCAGCCTGCCATATCATGAAATGAATCCAGGCCTATCTATCAGCCTAAATCATGCAGTACATCTCCCCCTCAGTTCCCCAAGGGTATTCAGTACAGACGTAACTACAGGAACAGGCTAATAGTGCTAATCCCCATGTTACAAAATGCTTCTACATTCCTGAACTACGATGAACCAGGTATCGACTACCTTTCAATGAAATATTTTTATAGTTCCTAAGCAAAGCAAGCTGGTTTGGTGTAGTCGTTAAAGGCATATAACTAGAAACTAGGAGAGTGAGTTCTAGCCTCATGTTGGAGCCAGCTAGGTGACCTTGGCCAGTCAGTCACTCTCAGTTCTAGGAAGAAGGTGACAGCGATAAACCAATTCTGAAAAGCCTTACCAAGAAAAATGGATTAGTTCACAAAAATAAAAAATGAACCCTGAGTATCACATTGGATTGTGGCAGCCCTTAAACCACTTTGACCATCCTTCACTATCGGATTATGCAGACCATACAAATGTGACAAATGTGCGAACCTCTGTTACATAACAACAATTTAAGCAGGTTCAGGACTATGTTCATAGAAAAAGAGTATTTTCCTTTTATTTTCCCCATTTTGCTGACTCATAAAAGTAAGTCAGCTAAGTCAGCTAAAGCTTTTAGTACAGATGGCTCTCCAACCTCTGAAAATCTACATGAGGCAACCTATTTCTCTGGTTACATCTCTCATCATTGGAAACTACTAGTATTTAACCAGAGTGTATTTGTGTTTAGTTTCAATGCATCCTGATTTTGTATTTATGATTATGATGCTCCTGAAAATCAACAGTAATGGAAACTTTGCTTGAAATACACAGCAGCCTTAGAAAGTGGCAAGATGTCTTTCTTCTATCTTCTATCTCAAACTACACAAAATTTCTCTTATCTCAAACTACACAAAATTGCTCTTGATTACTGCTAGTTACACATTTGTGTGTCCATTGTATTCTTCCAAAATTTAAGGCAGCCTTAATTCTTGTGGTTGGAAACAATGATTTTGGTCAGGAGCTATGAACTGAAACCCTTAAGGAACATTTCAAATAACTATTTCATATGAACGTTTACCTTGTCTTTTGAGTAATTTACCTTGATTAATTTCCTATAGCATTCAAATTGTTTTATATTTACATTCGCAGATAGTAAGAAGTTAATCTGATTTCTGCTTTGCCGTGATTGCAAGCTTCCAACACGCTTGTGCAGTAATGCTAATTTAATAGGCACTGGTGTGTTCCTCGAAACCGAAATATTTAGCCTGATCTTAATTTTCCAATGAAGTTCTGAGGAGAGTTTAATCCTATCTAATCTGAAATTGTACCTCTGCTTCTGACAAATCAACCCATGAGCACATGGGCACCGATCAAGAGCTCCATCTGGTTGCAGCTCCCAAGTAATTAGGTTGAGAAGCTCATCTGAAGGATTACGGCAAGGTTCTCTCTCACCAGGGAAGGGGTTGCATATGGGGAACAGAAGATCTGTTGAGAAAATTTGAAAAGTCTGTTTATTTTTATTACATGCAAAAGTTGAATTATTTATATTATTCATGTTACTTAATTTGGGCCACCCTTCAGGGCTCAAGCTGTCTCTCCAAACTGGCTTACAAGATGACTCAAAACAAATACTAGTATTTGTTATCTCCCCTAATAACATTCTATCCAAAATGCTAAACATCAAAAACAGTATTATGAAAGGATCATTATTTAAAGCCATTATTTAAGGATTTCTTAGCTATAATAATGATCCTTAAAGACTTGCTCCTGAAGCACTGGGAGAAGTATGCTTCTAATTTCCTCCATTTTGCAATGAAGGAAGATTATGTGTGTATGTGTGTCTACGTGTGTGAGTACTGTTAAGGTATTTTCTTTTTTCCTTTATTAAATCACTTTTAAAATTACACCATAACAAGTTATAACCGCAAATTAATGGGAGATGTTTTATCCAACTATTACTAATTTCAGAAAAAGGGGTTGAATTTACTTGAGCTAGACACAATATAGTAGTTACAACAAGGAAGCCCAAAGGAAAACTTGTCCTGATGTGCCATTGACACATACACATACTTAGCTTCACAACTGCCATGCAGCCTTATATACCAATAATGTTCCTGTTACAAATTTAACTGAATCAGAGAATTGGAAGCTGCTATTTAAACCATTAAATCCAATCCCTGCTCAGTGCGGGAATCTTTTAAGCTTCTGTTTGAACATTCCAATGAAATAGTACCTACCACTGCCTGTGTTCCTTCATCAAATTCCCACTCTTAGGAAGTTTTTCTAGCAATAAATTGGAAAATGCCTCCCTGTGACTTAAAGTGTGAGATTCTGTATCCCACACTCTGGAATGAGTAAAAATAAGACCATAACTTTCCTTTCATCTACTTGAAGAGTTATTCTATTGGTGCAACCTAAACTTGGATTTGCAGCTACATTTGTCACATTTGCAGCTACATTACTCTGCTGACTAATATTCAGATCTGCAATTAACTACTAATACAAGATCTTTTTTATAGGTCTCCTCCTGTATAATCACTTTTTAAGTTTTATTAGGGAAGAACTTTGGACTTACATCTGTTAATTTTCATTCAGTTCCTCATAACATGTTGCTCCAAGCTATTAGGAACATTTTGAATTTATTCATCTATAGTATTCACTATCCCATCAAATTCAGTATTATCTGTAAATCGGATAAGCATTTTTATTACCTCTTCATCTAAATCTTAATAAACATACCAAAGCATCAAGGATCCAAGGGTGATCTTTATGGCACTTATTTGCTATGTCTGTCCAGTTTGATAATGATCCAGTGGTAAGTACTCAGTGAATACAGATAGTCCTCGACTTACAACTGGTTGCTTAATGACTGTTTGAAGTTACAATAGACTTCCCAAAAGATACTTATCATCTGGTTTCAAAGTTTATGACCACTGTAGTGCCCCCAATCTTTATTCACACTTATGATTCAATTGCAGGGATGATGTAGCCCCTATATTCCCCCCAGCCATCCTGCCTGCTCCCAACCTGACCATTAAGCCATACATGGGAGCCTAAAGTTGGTCAGCAGAAACTATCAGCATATGGAAGAGATACATTCTATAGAAGTGGCCCCCAACCTTTTGGACACCAGGGACCAGTTCCATGGAGAGAGGTTTTTCCACTGACCAGAGAGGACGTGGTTTCACATGCTGCTTGCATCCCGCAGATGGGGCATCATTTATTTGCATGGCCCTGTTTCTGGCATGCTGCAGACCAGTACCAGTCCACTGACCAGGGATTGGGGACCCCTATTCTATAGGACAAGGCCTACTTCCCATCCAGTCATAATGGTCATCACAATTTGCAACCAAAAAGAATAGGCTCCATTATGGCCATAAGCTGAGGACTACCTATACAATTTTCAAGTTAGCATCTATCCGCTTAACTGTCCTTTTAATCATCCACTACATGTTTAAATAGCTTGCTAATTTGCATACCACAGCTGACTCTATGAAATGCTTTGCTGAACACCAGACATGCCTACAGTTTTCTGATAGTTATTTCAGAAATAAATATCAAAATTGTGACAAGATTAATCTGGCAGGATATGTTATTGACAAATCCATGATGACGACTTCTGGTAATTACCACCTGGTTGACAAAGTGCTTATAGATCCATTTCTATACCTCCTCTAGATTCTTCCCAGACATCAATGTCAGATTAACCAATGTGCAGTTTGTTTTATCATTCTTTTTCCCTTTTTTGATGATAGACATACATATTCTGCTTTGGTTATCTGGCCTTTCATCAGTTCTTCAGGCCTTCTCAAAGATAATATATGAATTTTCACTTAGTCAGTCCTTCAGTAACCAAGGATGCAATTCATGTGGTTTCTAAGAATGGACTTCATTCAGAAGAAGCACTCCCTAACCATATTTCTATTAATCTTTCTCCTTTCCTCCTGCCCTTCATATTGTTTGGTGGAACACAAAATTTTTATTGAAGAAAACTGAACCAAAATAAGAATTGACTAGATCTATCTTTCCTTTGTTAACCTGTTAATATTTTGCCTTTCTTGCTGAGCAGCTAATCTATCGATCCTTTTTCTTTTATTCTGACAATAGATGAGCCTATCAGAGATTCAGGATGGTACAAAAATTCGGACAATACACAAGACCAGTTCTAAGTTAAACTTTCTTTCTCCTCTGTTGTTATAAAGACACGAAGAAGGCTTTTAACTTTCCGTTTCCACTTTGAATGAACTTTCTGGGAAATATTCCAAACTTGCACCATCTCTATCTGGGCCATTTCACTCTTGGCTGTTTTCCCAGGCTACATTTCTTACTGAGAAGCTAAACTTTACTGCTATTCATGAAGGATGAGAAACTTAACCAGAATAACCTCTTGCAGGTAGCTTGCCTAATTCCACTGGATATTTGGATGGAGATAACTAGCCTCCTACTTCAGGATGTTCTTGCCCCTGAACTTTTAGACTAAGAGAGTTCTCTTTCCTTCCTGAAGGGTGGTACTTACACAGTTGCCACCATTGGAGTAAGCACCTGATTTTTAGAGAAGTTGGCTTTCTCCATGCTAGTATCTATGTATTTATTTCTTTTCTTCTCTCTAGCCTTATTCCTTTGCATGTACAATAGATGGCTACTGTTTACTATTATTAAGGCTACACATTCTAGGGTTCTTCCAATCTTTGGGGTCTACAGCAAGGGACTTCTTAGAGCTCTTTATTTCCCTTCAATATCCCTTTCTTTATCACTTGTCAGTGGATGGTCCCAGTTGCTAAGCAGGACTGGAAGGTTGTTGGACAACATCTCACCCTCAGCAAGGGTGACTCTGATTGGTCCCAACTGGAGCCTTGTGTAAGCTGAGTCTACTGTGGCCTCAGCTGTTCCCCATTTGGCAGACTCAACTGCTGCTGACAAGGCCACAAGTGCTCATAATATAAAAGCCTTTGCTTTTCATTGGCTCAGCTGATTGCCAACCAGTTTATTGTTTGAAATTTCTTCAGACCCACAGAGGGATTCAACCTTGAACACAACCTGAGTTCTCATGCTACGCAGAGTTCAATTCTCTTTCCCATGGTTTTAAAGCTAAGTTGTATGTGAATGATGTGAGGTATAAGTGGAATCAATGAGTATTGTCTTCTCACAAAGCCTTTTTTTTATTTTTACAATCTTTTGCTAATCTCTGAGTTTTCATTTACTGACACCAGCTTCACTATGCCAGCCTATGTGACTTGCTCTGTGATCTACCCTCTTTCTGTTGTCAAGTTTCACTAAGCTTTCTTCCTTCTTTAGGAATTTCCATCTGCTTGTTGTTGTTTTTTAGGGCCAAGATTATGTTTGACTATAATCCGTTTCTTCTTCCTTCCTTCTTTCCTTCCTTCCCCTTTGAAATATCTGCAACATGTGTTCACCTTGGTTGGACAGATTTATAACATTGCCAAATTAATTCATTTAGACTTCTTAGCAAGGATGGATATTCAAACGTGCAATACAACTCTTTGCTAAATGACCATCTATTCAGTGACCATTAAAAATTATCACCAGCACTGAATAGACTTATGATCCATGCCCAAAGTTACAATTGTTGCAGCACTCATACATATATATACACACACACACACACCATTATCACATGATTGCAATCTGAGTGCTTGGCAACCCTTCATAGGTACAATAGATTGCCAGGAGTCCTGTAATCATGTGATTGCCATTTGCAATCTTCCTTGTCTGTTTCTTCTGGTAGGCAAAGTTGTAAGCCACAGCTATCTGACTGGTTCCTGGAGTTGGCTGAAGAAGGTCTACCCTGAAAACTCAAGTTTGATTTTTTTTTTGCTTGGATTTCAGGCAGATCTTTTTCAGCCAGCTCTCTTTGAGAGGGAAAGAGCTGCTTAGCAGAGAGATTCCACCCTGCACAGGACGAAATCACTCTGGAAGGCTGTCAAATAGCCTGGCTAAAAGCCTGGTCCTTCTTTGCACACAGAGCATGGAGAGAGGACGCCAGCTCTAGGCCAACTAAACTTTGATCTCAAAGATCCAATCCCCATTCAGCTTGTCAACGCAAGGGGTTCCCTTCTGTGCAGGAGAGAAAGACCTGAACCTCTTTTGGCAGGCAGCTCTTTCACTCCATCTCCTTAATGATTCGTGTGGTTGCTTAACAACCACAACCAAGGGAGCTGGGATTGTTAAATGAAGTGGTGTGTGGATATCTTACTTAAGGACTGCAACAACTTTCAACCAAAATTCCAGGCCCGATTGTGATCAATAAGCAAAGACTAGCTGTTGACACAATCTGCTTACTGGGGTTTCTTTCTGGACATCTTCAATGGACTAGAAGGATGGTAAGCAGCTGTCAATATCCTAATTTTCTCCCAAGAACTCTAGACTAATGTAGTTGTACCTTTTTCTTTGCAGTATCACTTGTCCTCACATTTGTCAGCAGGGAAAAATAACTGTCACCAGACTTGATAAGATCTCAAAAATATTCTATCTATGCCTTTATTCTTGCTCTGGCAGACACCAATTTCACAAGCCAATGGTCCCAGTTGCCATACAATTTCTTACAATAGTAAATCACCAGCTATCACAACTCTTGTCTTTATGTTCTTTTAGGACATAGCTATCCTTTGGAGATTTATGATCCTCTCTTTCTATTGCCTTTTTCTTCCTCTGAACATTCAGAGCCTATTTCATCTATGAGGGTCTGAAAACCATTCCTGACATCAAATAATGAAGAATACACCATATGTCTCTTGCTTCTGCCTGTTACTTTCATTTATTGCACTTGCAGCTTTGATTATCTGCTTTTTTAAAATGAAGAAATGCTTCCATGATATATATTTCTGCCGTGTAACTTTTCTTTGACCTGATAAATCCACTTCAAATTTTTACCAGTGAAATATAGTCACTCACCAATCCAATTTTCAAGGAAAGCAACAAGCACGATTTGATGCAAATATATTTCAGGAGGTTTTTCTTCAGGCAGCAAAATATGCTATAAGCAATGCAGGTCAAAATGGAATTTCAGTCCATTCATCTTCACTTCTTAAGAATCTTTCTACTAGCTGTATACTGTTTGTTCTTGTCCTTTTCTCAGGTTAAGCACAAAGTCTTGATTGTTATGGAATCCCCCTTAAATTCCCCTGCTGAACTCCCCAAGCAAATGCACTAGTTCTCTTTGTTTATTCACTCAGTTTCTCTGTAAGGAATCTGTTCTTCATTGAAATGAAATGTTAGAAGATATAAAAACATGCTCATTTGAAACAAGATGCTTACTTGTGAAGAATATTACATTAGACCATTTCTCTTTTATGCAGAGTATTTAAATATTAACAACATTTAATATCTTAACAGAAATACAAACTCATATATGCAGATATTGTAACTTGTTCTGTTAATTATCCAGAAGAAACAAGAGGAACAATTTTTTAAAAATATAAAAGTGACTGACCTTTTGTAAATGCACAGCACAAACCTGGATTGCAGTCATGTTGATTTTCACAAATTGTTCCATTTTCTCCTTTTGAGACAGCTTGCATGCACTCACCCCATACACAGAGCTGTTCTCCGCAACACTCCACATCCCGAGAACAGTGCTTAAAAATAAGAAAATAAAAAAATAAGAAAACATCCACAGGAACAATTTATTGCAAGCATTATGATCTGATCTAAGACTTAGATCTACAGTGAGGTTTAGAAAAATGGAGCTCTGTGTCTTTCACTGTCTAGTATGACATAACCTGTTGGTTTTTTTCTCCTGACCTCCCACCCTAAAAAAAGGAAATGAAATTTACAGGCAAACAGATGTAACAGCAATGCATGTCAAATCTCAAAGTCTGGAAATTTTAAAAATGCCTGTAATGTTCTTGTTTTAGAACAGCACATGATGAAATTTGCAGTGACACAATGTTAGTGCAGCGATACAGAGGCAAAATATTCAAGCCTTTATCTGACAATTTGTTTTTGGAAAAAAGAAAACAAAACATGTTCATAAAATGGAAAGCAAGTTATTTTTGAAGAATTTCAAGCAAACAAGAACAAAGAGTAGTAGTTGTGACAGGAAATATTGAGTTTTCCCTTCTAGATCCTAGGTTACCTACTCTGTCATTAAATATCTTCCAAGATATTTTTCAAACTATTTCACTGCAATTTGAACTATCATTCTTATATAAATTCTCGAACATTTTGTATACACGTTTTATAACTGTCAATAAGACTAACAAGATATTTTCATGACTCATATTCCAAAGTAATCATAATTTTAGGCCAATTCAACTAAAAAATCAAAAAGGACTCAAACTGTGGTCTGGGGAAACCATTTCATGAAAACCACAAAGTCAAATAAATAAATAAATAAAATATTTTAAAACTTCTCAGCTTTAATTTCTAATAGAAAAAGTATCATTAAGCATAATCCACATAAATCTTTGGGGTCCCCAATCATTTTTTAATAATATAAAATAAAATATTGCAGCCAAAATATTTGAGAACCGCTGATCTAGAAGGTGTTTTTTTTTTTTAACATATTTTACATTTTACAGAAATGGGTAATAAAGTGCATGTGTTCAGAAGCCATTTCATCCACGCTTTTCCAACTCTAGAAACTGCTTTGTGAACAAAATCATCAAGTCCTGGAGCCTTCAGATGAGACATTATGTATAAGCATAATGCAACAAACATAGCTCAATATTCAATCTTTTAACAATTTAACCCTAACTTATCAACTTATAGATAGAAAAAGAAAGTGGATAAAAATGAAATGCTCACTCCGTGTTGCGGTTTGCAAATGTGACAGTGGTACGCCAAATCAGAGAATGCACAGTATTTTCCAATTTCACAGTCTTCGTCTATAATGCACTCCTGAGAAGAAGAATAACAAGTCTTCAGTAAAAGTGTGGTTATTCAGTAAAACTGCAGGCAACCAAAGATCCATTTTTGCTCCCAAAGCACCTAGGATAGCAGTGTCACAATATTGTATATTATATAAAAACAGTAATAAAACAATCGTGATTTCCCAAAATGAATTTATTTTATTTTATTTAGAAAATGTATTGGCTGACCATCTTACAATAGGGTAACTCTGGGCAGCTTACAATTATATTTTAGTTAAAACATAAAATGTTAAAATCAAACCTTACAGCCAAAGACACATGGGAAAAACTGGAATGGAAGGGGGAGATCTGTTCAGTCAACCACCTCCAACATGCCTCTCCTCTGCCGGCATGAGTGGTATATATAGTGTTTACATGCAGAGTTCCATCAGTCCAACTAGTCCTAATGTTGCAAAAGTGCTTTAGATTATCATTTTTATGAGTTTTTTTCAAATTATATGCCCCAGACTACAGACTAAATACATAGGAAGCACACAACTAACATCAAAACAAGAAAAACTGGTCTGTGTATATGGCTCCCCCTGACTGATTGCCTAACCCTGTACTGGACTAATTTATTTAATCATATAAAATCAAACATTCTAACAATACAAAGGGGTCTAACAGGTTGTGATACCTTTTTCAATGCAGATATCAAGTACAAAATACAGGTAGCCTAACAACTGGTCGAAGTTACAGATAGACCTTTAAAAAAGCTACTTACAACCCATCCTTAAAGTTACGACTGCTAACGCATTTTGGGCACCAAGCAACTGACTCACATTTAGAGTGTGGTTACATAACTATAATTTGCAATGCAAAACATGCCCATTCAGAAAATTGATTTAACGACCATGTGATTTATGTAACACCTGTGAAGTCTTGCTTTATGACCATCTTAAAACTGGTCCTAGAATGAAGTCCAATCAGAAGGTGCCTTAACTTATTATTGCAACAACTTAGACCAAAATTCCAGGTTCCACTGTGGTCATATGTTAAGAATTACCTGCACTTAGCAAATACATTTCACAGTAACTTATTGTACTGAAGGCAAACCAGTTTTCTCTAGCACTGAAGAATACAAGGTCACATTTAATGATTAAACTTCCCAATTATGCCAAGCAAGTGAAACAATTTCTAGAATAGAATAGAGCTGGGAGGGACCTTGGAGGTCTTCTAGTCCAACCCCCTGCTCAAGCAGGAAACCCAATACCATTTTCAGACAAGTGGGTGTTATTAATTCAAAGCTATTTATTGTTGCACATACTGAACTAATGACTGAACCCTCAGGACAAACCAAGGAAATAATAGATTTGCCAGACCTAAGGTGTTCTTGGATTTTATTAAATGAAAGGGTGGACGCCCTCCACCCACCTCCTGCATCCTTACTATGAACATACTCAGTCAGGCTGTGCAAATAAGTTTCCATTTGACAATCCCTGTGACAAAGTGGTGGTATCGGAACTGACCTCCCCAACAGTTCTGGATAGAACAAGACTTTACCCTACTGAACAGTGGCTCCCTTGTGCAGACTTCTGGCTCTCCTTTTAACTTCTACTCCTGTATTAGCCTTATTTAGGCATGTTTGAATATCTGGGGCTTTCCTAGACATCCAGCCACAAAGTAATAGTTATTTCCAAATTCCTTCCTCCCATAAAGTCTGATCTATATTCCTGATGCACTTAATTCTACGGCCAACACTCATGCTGTCAGTCTCAATAGCAATCTCTCTTCAGACAGGAGAAAAGCAATCACGTCAGTTTTAATTCTTTGCAACAGCTCCTTCTTGACCAAAAGTCTCCTGCTGCTAGCTGTTAAATTTTCCACTCATTCTGCTTGACCCATTCTGCTTGACTCTGATTTATTTATTTTTTTGCACCGTCTTGAATATTTGGAAATATGCTGTGTTTCATGTAAGAATCAAAAGTATTTTAGCTGCAAGATCTTTTAAAGAAAGGTAGGGTTTCAGCAAGTCTCCATGGAGAAATCTATGAATTATGTAATGAGCATAAAATGGTCATGGCGCAAAACTGTTGCAAAACGTATTAAGAACTACATACATGGATAAAAATCAAATGTGTTCACTAAAAGAAACAAATGTAAATATCCTAAATATCAAGCTTACCTCCTCGAGATGGCATCCACAGAAAAGATTAACCACAGCCTTCTTCTAAAAGATTTCTAGAACTTCCCAGATTGGCTAACCCACTAAAATTCTTGGCACCCTTCAACTGCTAACCAGGGCTGATTTCTACTTAGTTCCTAAGATCATCTGAGCTCAGGTAGAAGTTGCCACTTGCTGTGGCAGTATAGTTGCTAGTAATGATCAAATTACAAGTGCAATTACTGTGGCTTGATCCTGGAAGGATGGATGGATGGACAAAACAAACATGATAGTCACAATCTAGAAACCAATAAAAACCTGGTCTCCTATCAACTATGCTTAATTCAAAGCAGTTCCATAAGTGAGACACAACTATGTTAGTGGTTGTCATCGAATTGTGTGCTATCCCTTTCAGAAAAGGAAAGCTATGAAAATGAAGGCTTTTTTTAAAAAAAAAGAATTGTCCTGAATTGTTTAGCTTCTGGTTAAAAATAAGAAGTTGACTTTTTAGATCCTTGCAATGTTACATTCCCTGAAATATAGAACATGAAGAATATTTCTATATTTTATTACTTTATCTTTTTTTTTTTTGTTCAACTGCTGGGCTGCATTTTTGGTTATTCTACAACATTTTCTCTGCTTATCAGGGAACATAGAGGAAAGCTTACTGGTTATTTTGTAATCTGAAGCAAGGGGTACAAATCTAATTTCTGATCACATTTGTGTGTTGTATTAAATTATTAGATTAATATAACTCCACATTGCTTTAAGCAATACTCATGTTTGCATTAAGATTTCTTATCCACACAATAGGAAATTTCCAAATCAAAGCCACAAGCAAGCTAAAATCAATATTAATTACATTGCAATCTTCTCTCCGAGTATCTTCAGTCTGCAACACCAAACTTCCCAATAATTTAGAGAATTTAGTGATAATTAATTTAAAACACATGACAGTATGCCTGGCATGTATGCATGACAACCAGTGACAAATTACAGTCACCAGAGTAGACCATAATTATGAATAATGCATATTATAATGGACTGTCAAACAATCCTATGTTTTAGTCATGCCATATAGGTTTTGACAACTTTTATTCATTTATTGATATGTTATTTTTCAAAACAAGAATTACTTACATGATTTCTCTTTCTGTCTTCTTGTATTGATGTAATAATAGTCTCAGAATAGCTAGTAGATCCAGTTTTGTTATCCGTTACCTAAGAGAGCAAAACAGGTACACAATAAAGCAATGGTTTTGTCATTTAATAATGTTCTAGTGTTGGGTTTTATTTTGTTTTTTGTTTAAATCTGTGAACAGAACTATCATTTTATAATTATGAAACAAACAATTTTGAATTATAACATGAAATTGGTGGGATTTGGGTTTGGGGCAGGGGAATGAGATTTAATCTTAGTATCTTACAGAACCCCATCCAGGTTCCCTAAACACAATATTATATATAAAAAAATCTGAAGGAGCTACATGTTAATGAAGTTACAAACATAAGCACTATTTGCAAAAGAAAAGAAAGAACTAATTTATCATAAAACCATTCTATGATTTTACAGTAGAGAAGGATCTGTGACAATCCAAGACTGTTTTACTTGTTTAATATTGTTGAAAATCGGTTAATAATGCCCTCCAGATGTGCTGCTTGATGCTGGTCAACCCTTATAGGTGGTGGCCTGATTCAACTGAAGAGGCTTTTTTAGAACAGCCTGCAGAATCTATGCAACATCTCTAATCTACATTTTGAGAGAAAAATGGCCAAGATTTAGCTGTGCAACTTTATGCTGTTTTTAGAAAAAAATAAAGTACATTAAGCCTCTGACAGAAAACATTTCACTTTTGCTCTTAGAATTTGTCAAAATGCCCACAATATCCCCACTACCATCATTATTAAACCTTTCTCCTACAGCCTTAGGAACTATGACAGCAAGTAGGAAGCATGCAGTCAGTTGAAAAAATGTTGCCCACAATTGCTTTAAAATAGTTTCTAGAGATCTCAACAGAAACTGGAGGGCCAAGCCACAAAAATTTATTAGAGTTATGCAATAGTTTAGATTTGAAGGCAAAAAGTGCTTCAGAGTATATGATAAAATAAGACTCCAAACTGCAACTTCTTAAACCAAACGTATCTCTAAAAAGCTACAATTGGGTGAATTATGAAAATTATACTACTAATGCATCTGGTGAACACTAAGTTGAAGAAAATCAGTGAAGACTGAAGGAAATATGCACATATAAAAATGCATAAAATGAAAACATTTCACCTTATCAATTTCTTGATGTCTGTGTATAGTTTTATTTCCAACTTTTGTATCTGTGTAGGATTCATTATGGTAATTGGCAGGAAGCTTCTGAAATTCAATTCCCATTATCTTTTTAGAGCCTCCTTCCTCTGCTTCCATCTAGAAAGATTATGATTACAGTTACAAATACTATGTAAACATCTACATCAGTAAATATGTATTTCCAGATAGACTCAGCTTTGCATAGAACAAGTGACTGACTTCATTATCCATGCAAAGTTGTTAAATTTATAGAGCAATATACACATGCACAAAGTTCATTCAAAACTTTACTATTTGTGGTACTGTCTGCCTTGTCTGAAACTGCAGAATATTTATTTTCCAGTACAGAGAGGTTTGTTATGCAGTTTTGGTGGCAGAGGATATGGAAAATCCTTTTGAAGGTGAAAGGTGATATTTTTGGAAAGGAAGAACAAGTTGGCAGCAATAACAAATTTCAAACCAGAAACAATTTTCTCTTAAGATTCTATTCCTAATTATTTTCTCTGGATACTGCAATTCTTCCTCCACTACTCTTGAGTGTCTATGCTGCAGCCATGGTAATTACCTGATTAAACTTCAATTTCCTGAGGCTACATTACCAATTTAGTATAATTACGCAGCTATGTTATCCTTATGAATATGAATAGATACAATCAAAAGTTGCTCTCCAGCCTTTATTCCAGAAATTAATATGTATCTGGATTATAAACAAAAACATTATTTCATGTAGATATTTGGTGTAAACTCAAAAATATGAAAAACATATTTATATTATTACTTCAATAATGACCATGGTAAAATTAAAAAATACTGCAATTTATACTTCTCATCACAGGAGGAAAAACATTCGACATGGAGTTAAATAAAATCTTTATTGGTGAAAGACAGTAAAGAAAAAAATATTAAGAAACAGGAACAGTCTAGAATATGTTTCTTTGGCAAATGATTACAAACACGCCTATTTTCTTGTCATTGTTGTTATCTTATTCAATATTTGAAAAGGAACAGCTAGCAATGATTTTGATATTTGATCTCTTGGACAAAATAGTCCACACCTTCTCTTAAATCTTGGCACCTGTCCTAACCCAAAAGAGCAAATGTACATATCGTGTTTGTCTTTAGCAAATAAACAGTAAAGCCAATCAAGAAAAAAGAGCTGCTTAAAAGTATTCAGGAATAACTGCTCTTCATTGGGGAAAATCTGATGATTCTTCAAAAGCTGCTTATTTTGAGTTATCTGAGGCAGGAACACAGCCAGATTGGTCAACCAAGGAGTTTACTATCCATCTTTAATCTATTACCAAACACTCATCTATAAAGCCCTTCATGGCTTGGCTTCTAGGTATGTCCATGACCATCTCCAATAAGGAGAACTGGCATATCCTATTAAGTATAATTTCCATATCTCTTTTCAAGAGATTGGGGAAAAATTGTTTTTTCACTGTGAACTAACCTATCTACCAGGAATCATTTTAAAATTTTGCAAATAAATAAATTACCACAATTTTTAATTCTCACTGTACTCACAGCTAAAGATTTACCATTTAACCAATCACAGAGGAATAGAATTCTTAGGAAGGGGAAACAAGATTGTCATAAAATTAGGGATCAATCTGAATACAAATGGCACACTCTAGACAAGTTGATCTTATTGGCAGCATAGATCATTCTGCCAAATACCAGTCAAACTATTAGTAAGAGAACTGTCCCTCTTTCCCTAACTGCAGTGTTAATTTTCAATGTTGAGCTTATCCCACAACACATTCTTATGACAAGCAACGGGCAAGTCATTTTAAGGCTGTTAGGCAGTCAGTTTTCACTTTCATTTTACAATAGAGTCAAACAAAAATACTAGGCACAAGGCTGAAAACTGTGAGCAAAATAAAAAGTTGGACTTGCTTGCACCATTAATTCAGCTACAATACTTGAACATTGCTTGGTCTATAACCGTGATGGCGAACCTATGGCACGCATGCCGGAAGTGGCACGCAGAGCCATCTCTGCTGGCATGTGAGCCGTCGCCTCAGCACAGTTCCACTGCGCATGCGTGCGCACCTCCCGCCAGCCAGCTGATTGTTGGGTATCTGCCACACATGTGCGGGGGGAAGGGTGCATGTGGGAGACACATGCTCATGTGCAGGGGGGGGGGGAGCACAGGGGGTCATGCATGCAGGGGCGGGGGGGGTGGGAGTACGCACATGTATTGCATTATGGGTGAAAGCACACACACATGCACATGCACACAAAAATGCACGCTTTTGGCATGTGACAACGAAAAGGTTAACCATCATTGGTCTCTAAGAATCAAAACATGAGATTATGCACTGACACAAAACTATAAGCCCAGTTCATGTGAACAGGAGTAGCATAATAATTAATTAGTATAAGTATAATTTCCAGAAGTTTAAATCAAACCATTATGTTTCAATGTATGTTTTAGTGAGAATGAATGCCTGTATCAATACAGAGACCCTCTTTATTATAAGTCTATCCTGTTGCTGCTTATCTTAAGGCAGAATGGAAGGTGGGAGAAGATCAATGCAATTCTAGCTTTCTACAGCAATTAAAAATTCTCAGCACATCAAATGGAAAGGGAGTACATTGATTCCAGTGACATTTGTCTGAGTTGCACAATGTGCTGGTGACAGAAATCAGAAGCAGAATCACACCAAGACTGGCTGTGTCCCAGAGAAACACAAGAATGTTTATAAACAGGCTATGCTTAATCTCTAAAACAAAGTGCTGGCACCATCGTGCCTAGACAGGTCTTCTGATAGGAAGCTGTCTTTGCTTCATCCCAGATGAAGCTACTGTTTCCATTTACAGATGCGAGGAAACTCTGCTCTTAGTCAACAGCACTCACAGTCCACCAAACCCAAGCCTTGATTCTAGACCCAGAGGCAAATTGCAGGTCAAGCACAACATATACTTGGAAAACAGAAAATTAGGCAGAAGACTCAACTGTGAAAGTACAAAGTACAGTACTAGATCTCAGAACAAAGGAAAACACAAGAACATTTTTTTCAGCCTGTCAGGAAAGCAGATTTGAAGCAGCTGAATCACTTTCAACTATGTAAACAAAAGCTGGGCTACACCAAGAATATTAGGAGTACTGAAGACAGACTTAGTAGCCTTTTTGGTCAGAATAAATGAGTATGTGAGGAGAGAGAGAATAATAAATCCATGAACAAATTATTCTTCAAAAAAAGTTGATTTTACACAGCAGGATCTTGTTTTGTCTTGTCTCCATTCCCTAAAACGTGATGCTTTTCAAAATCATGAAAGTATTTTTCCCCAGGGTGTGGCCAAGACGAGGGCAGGGAAAAAGAAAATGGATAACAGATACAAATCTGCTTTGAGATTCAGGATCATCAGAACAAATACTTCTTGTTAGAAGCCCAGATATAAACAGTCAAGCTGATTGGCAGATAGATCACTCACAATGAAGAATGAACAAACAAGCCAGGGAAGCAGCAGGGAAGAGGACGGAAGCATACATCATGACATTCAAAAACCGAACAGAAAAGAATGAGTTTCCTACCCAAGTATCATAAATTGTACACAAGTTAGTAGGGACTGACATGTCCAAGGCAGATATTTAAGCAACATCACCTCTAGCTGATTTCTAGAGAAACAAATAACAGAATAACAGAATTGGAAGGGACCTTGGAGGTCTTCTAGTCCAACCCCTTGCTCAAGCAGGAAACCCTAAACCATTACAGACAAATGGTTGTCCAATCTCTTCTTAAAAACCTCCAGTGTTCCAGAGCTTCAGGAGCAGGGGTGGGATGCTACTGGTTCGGTCCGGTTCTATAGTACCAGTAGCTCTGAAGAGTAGCGGTCCCTGAACTGGTTCGCCCAGGCTCTTGGCTGTCCTTTATTTCCTGCTTTTTCAACCTCAGCTGCTTTGCGTGGCATAGTTGAGGTTGAAAAAGCAGGAAAGAAGAGGGTTTTCAAATGCTGCGCACCCGTTGTCAGCTGTCCGGGCGACACAGCTGATATATATATTTTTTTTGCAAATGCTGTACATGCACACGTAGTGAACCAGTAGTAACAGCAGTTTAAACCCACCCCTGTTCCGGAGGCACATTGTTCCACTGATTAATTGTTCTGACGTTCAAGAAATTTCTCCTTAGCTCTAGGTTGGTGGCTCCCCTTGATTAGTATCCATCCATTGCTTCTTGTTCTGCCTTCAGATGCTTTAGAGCAGGGGTGTCAAACTCATGGCCCCGGGGCTGGATCCTGCCCGCAGGGTGATTAGATCTGGCCCACGGGGCCGCCCTGGAAATAGTAAAGGACCCGGCCTGCAGTGCCTCTACCAGCTCAGTTTTCACTGGCAGAGGGTTGCAGGAGGTTGTCCCAGCCGAAAACAGAGCTCAAGAGCCTGTTTTCACTGGCAAAGTGCTCAGGCCACCACAGGCATCCCCCGACACATGATGTCACCCTGGCCATGCCCACCCCAGCCCCCCAAGGTCAAACACAACTCTGATGTGACCCTCAATGAAATCAAGTTTGATACCCCTGCTTTAGAGAATAGGTTGAAACCAGTCTTCTTTATGGCAGCCAATTAGATATTGGAATACTGATATCATGATATCCATGGCTATTCTGTTTAGGCTACAATATTGTCTGGAACCAGTATAAATGCTCCTGGCAATTTCTATGTGATCTTCGCTGCTTCCCAGGCTGGTTTCAATCCCAAGGCAAGGTGTTGGTTTTAACCTATAAACCCCTACTGCTTTTAAGGAATACCATTCCCAAGCAGGTTAAGCCTAGAACTATCTTTATGGTCTTTTCAGTGTCAAGCAAAAGAACATATAGGTTTTTTGGTCTTTTGAATAATGTTTTAGTGCTGTGTGACATTTTAACTTCCTCAATTTATATGTCATTGTATTTGACTTTTGACATCTAGAGGCCATATAGAGAGATCCTCTCCACAAAGATCTACCCCTAATCTGTTCTTCCAAGTTCTCAATGGTGCACTCATTGTCCCTGTAATTGAGTTCAATCATCTTGTTACTGGTCCAGCTCTTCATCTCTTTCCCAGCATCAAGTAGGGCATGTCAAATTTTTCAGCTTTCAACTTCCAAACATTAGAGGTGCTCTAAAGTTGTGACATGCCTTGGAGATTGTAAAGATATTTTGGTATCTTTAATATAGTTTAGATGTGCTTGGTAAATAATTACATACATATCATAACTTTTTAACGTTTTGATTGCTTCATTAGAGCCTTACTGCCTTGTTGAAGTTTTTACTCGGTCTAGTGGTTTTATTATTTTCTCTTTGTCTTTTTTTTATAGGTTTAATATAATAATTTAATATATGCTTGCAGTTATTTTTAATGTATTTGAATTGTTTGGAGTTTGTTCAAAACCACATCAATTGGTTTGTTTTTAAATGAAATGTGGTATAAAGAAGTTTCAAATAAATAAGAAAATCCAGAAAATCGAGGAATGACTTCTATCATGAGAAATTATTTTGCTGTAATTGTAACATATTTTTGAGATTCATGTATTATGCCATCAAGGAAATGACTTAATTATTAGGGACAATTACATAAAATATTGTTGCATAAGAATAATTGGTTGGCAAGTTGTTGAATTAATACAAAAATTACTAAAAATAAAAAGTTTAATTGAATCTTGTGGGTAATGTAGGTTGCTATGAATTTAATAAAACAGTAATATCTAAGCCACACTGAAGCCAGCCCTGGGCCTATTTCAAGCTGTTGCTTCAGTTTATACCTCAGCTGTTATTTTCTTAGTAGCAAGGCTCCAATAATTAATTCCAAGGTATAGAAGAGTAGGAGGATGTGGTACCTTGCTGTTTGGACTGAATACCTTGCAAGCTGTTGCCCAAGTATCTCACTCCAGATAGAATTTTCTTAGCTGGCTAAGAGAAGCTGGCATGAGCACCCGAGAGGAGCAGCTTAAGGACACCATGAGCTAAGCCCCTCCCCCCCCAGTGCTGATGAATAAGAGGTCTAGGATTCAGAAGTAAAAAAAGAAAAACCAAGCATTTAAAAAGACACAGACAGTTAAACAACAACTAGAAAATACACTGTTGTATAAAGTGTCTATTTAGAAGAAGGATTTACTTCTTCTAAGAGGGTTTGGTATGCAGCCTATTTTTCCAAACTTGACTAATATGAAATGTACACAGCTCCAAATCAAATCAAATGGGGTTGGAAACTTACTAGCTTGATGTGCACATTGTGCTATGTCAGTTTAGTTTATTTAGATGCAGATTATATGAACAAACCACTGTGCTTTGTAAACCAGGATGTGTGGCTTCCAGTCCTGTCCATCCATAGTCAATTGTAGGTTGGCAAAAAACAACAACCCAACAAATCATTTTTTCCCAAAATGGCACATTCAGAATATTTGTGAAATATTCAGAATATTGGTGGGAGATATATAAGATACAAAATATTTGACAATAAATATTTCTTATATGGTAAAAGGGGGGGAAACTCAAAGACATTTCCAAAATTCCATGTGTATGTATACATAATTAGTCTGTAAAGCAACAAACCTGCCAGTACTATTTAATGAAGCAGATGGTTTTCCTTCCACGCAGTTACTGATTTAACATTAGAAGATCAGCAACAGGAACATGTGCCAAATTAGATGTGTCCATTATTCAATACGTAAAAATGCTTGAAAACTCAACATCAATTTTTCACATCATGAAAACACTTAATCAGGATGAGAAACAAGATCAACCTATACTCCACCTTAATGTTACCAGTCTGAAAATATATGCATGATTCCAGGGGAAGAAAAATGAAAAATAAGCTGAAAGTTATTTTTTTCCCTTTCATATAAAATAAAAACATAGATAAGACAAGATTGCAGGCCTACTGTATGAATGAGGGACAAAAATTAATGTCTTCTTTGTAAGGGATTTGCAAGTAAATTTCTACATAGATATGATGGATAAATCAATTCTTTGGCATGCATTTTACAGTTACAGATACTCTTTTTATTCTGCCTCATTTTCCCTACCCTCTTTGCCTTTGACACTTAAGTCTTTTGACAAACATAAAAATAGTTGCTGATACTGGTGATACTTAAATAAAATATTCACACCCTTAATGTTTCACACTCTCTGTTGCCAATTGTCTAGGGCAAGTCACCCAAATTAACCTATTAGGTTGAGCAGGTAGATTCTCCACCATTTTATTACACGTCATTATTCTCATTACACAGACAGATACATACCTTTTCTTCAAGTATTCAATTAAAATGGTAGTCATTTCAGCAGCATAGATATGTTATATTTTAATCTTGCTGTTGTTCATCTAAAACCCTGAGCTTATAAAGCATACTGTAGTGAGATTTCTCTATCAGCTTTAAACATTAAATTCTTATTCCAACTCTCCAGACAAAAGTCTTACCTCTCTGACTGCATTGGTCAGCTTGTACTGAGTATCCTCCATCAACTCCTCAACTTCCTGGAGCATTTCATTCAGGCTAGTTTCATCCTTTGGAAAGCTTAGCAGTATCTCCTGGGGTTGCTCCTTTTTCTTACTGTCTGAAGCAGGGGCTGAAAAGACCATGCCCAGAAGAGCCGGCAAGAAGAGCAAGCCAAGCAGAAACATCCTCAGAACTGCTGTAATGATTCTCCTACAGGCAAACACCAGAAACAAAAAAAAAAAGTCAATCTTTTTTTTTCCCAGGGAGAAAATGTCTTAAATGAACTTCCAAATCCTCATTACTGATATTAGATGATCGAAACTGAAAGCCAAGAAGATGACTCATTCAAGTTCTAAGAATATTATTTTCTTCCAAAAGCTGGATCTTCTACTCATTACATTAACAGTAACCTTCAAAAATGCTGGAGGACTGAAATTTTCTTTTCAGAATTCCAGCTGCGACAAAGCACTCAAATTTCTTTTCACTTTCCCATCCCTCTTTTCTCACACCTGGATAGATATAATATCTACCATTGGGCTTGCCATTCAACATTAAGTTATTTTGGAGGATAGTTGCCCTATAGGTTCTTGCCTCCCCCAATCCTTTTGATGATTTCTGCAAACCAAGCCATATTATAATACCATCCCTTTGCATGGATACCGTAGTAGAGTTTTAAAGTTGTTGCATGAAGCAACACCTGCAGGTACTCCTTGTTTAGTGACTGGCTCGTTTAATGACTCTCCAGAATTTCAGAAGTGATGAAAATGAAACTTGATGACCAGTCCTTGCCTTGCAGGTCCGCAAACAAAGGAAAGCTAAATAATAAGATCATAAACACATTTGCAGTTTTTCATTTGGCAACTGCTTTGCTTAACAACTGAGTTGCCAGGCTCCACTGTAATTGCTAGTGTACTAGAGTCTGTCCAAAAGGAACCCAGGTGGACAGGCCAGTAAGAAAAATTAATGAGGACTATCTGTATGCAACCCTTCTTCTAACAACAAAGCATCTTGTTTGATTTCCCCAAGCTTCTGACTTCCATTAACTAGAAGAGGTTTCAGCATATATTTGCACACGTGCCAGTAGAATTGCCAAAGGGATTTTGGGGTGGAAATGATGTGAACTACAGGAGAACTACATCATCTCTACAATATGAAGTACCTTTTTGAGATAAAATCTAACCAACTTTGAGTGAATGGTGCCCTTTTGGCTACATAAGAACAAATTCACTCTTTGAGGAAATGAGTAGCTACCATGGCATAAGGCTCCAGGGTCTGATCCACAAATATAAAGGACAACTGAACTGTATTTAAGTATTTAAGATGTACCAAATGTTCTTTTTTAATTATAAATGCTTAGAAATGTTCCTCTACAGTTTTACTGCCTACTTACATTTTGTTTAGCATCTTAGTTGCTAAATGAAGACAGAAAGGGCAGAGATACTGCCCTATCCTATATGCACCGTAGATTTTCTTATACATGGATATTCTCCAATTTCTATTTCCATGAAAGTAACAATATGTAGAATTGGCTACAAAGGAAATAATGTAACCTTTCCAATCAGGGCAATTACAAAATTTTCTAAATGTATCTGTCTTTGAATCCATGTTAGTCACATTTCTAGCTCAAGAACCATTGTCTTCCTGTGGACAATTCCCCCATACAACCATTCTCCATATATATGGCAAATTTAATTCATAGTTGAGTCTAACGTATTCTGACCCACAAGTGAAGGATTTGATTTGTCCTGAGAATCAATCCTGGTTTCCATCTCAGTACCAAAGTTTTGGAATATCCAAAATATATGATAATGATTGGATTCAAGGACCAACAAGCAATTCAGGGTCTGGCCAGAATCATCACCTGGCTTTCATGCCTAAGATGGGACTAAAATTCTAGTCAGCGCTAAAGTCAGCGCTTCATTACTACATCAATAAAATCATTTTTGAAAAGAGCAGCCATAGAAAGTGTAAGGCGAAAAGGCTCAAAGTTCAGGGAACAGCTCTCCGCCCCAGTTGCACTGAGGTTGTAACAATGGCCTCTTTAACCATTACAACACACCTCCCAAGCAGGCAGAAAATTAATGGTCCAGCCACTCTTACAAAAAGGTCTCAAAGGTGCTTTTTTCAAAAGGCAACTGGACTTCGTTTTTTCCTTTGAGGAAGACATTTCTCTTCTCATCTAAAAAACTTCTTCAGTTCTGATTGGATGGGGTTGGGTGAGGGGGAGAAATGGAAGGACTTGTACAGATAGTCCTTGACTTACAACAGTTCATTTAGCGACCGTACAAAATTACAACGGCACTGGAAAAAAAGTGCATTATGATCATTTTTCATATTTAACAACCTTTGCAGCATCCCCCATGGTCACTTGATCTACGTACAAATGCTTGACAACGGGTTCGTATTTATGACAGTTGCAGTGTCCTGGGGTCACATGATCCCCTTTTGTGACCTTCTGACAAGCAAAGTCAATGGGGAAACCAAATTCACTTAACAACCGGGTTACTAGTTTAACAACTGCAGTGACTGAGTCACTTAACAAATGTGACAAGAAAATAGCAATGGCACTTAGACTTATATATCACTTTATAGTGCTTTACAACCCTCTCTAAGTCAGCATAAGCCGCCCCCCCAAAAAAATCCGGGTCCTCATTTTATCCACCTCAGAAGGATGGAAGGCTGAGTCAACCTTGAGCCTGGTGAGATTTGAACTGCCAAATTGCAGTCGGCCAGCGATCAGCAGAAGTAGCCTGCAGTACTGCACTCTAACCACTGCACCAAAGTCGTAAAATGGGGCAAAACTCACTTCAACAAATTTCTCCCTTAGCAACATATATTCTGGCCTCAATTGCGGTCGAAAGTCGGGGACCATCTGTACTCCTTTACAGGGATCTGGTCGAAATCTTTCCACCCCCACCATCCAGTCAGAATTGAAGAAGTTTCTCGCATGAAAAGCGAATCATCTTCCCCAAAGGGAGCAGGGGGTACCCGAATCCAGCCGCCTCTTGTGGGGGGGGGGAAGCACCTTTGAGACACCCGCGACCCGGATGACTTGAGAACCTCCACAGATATCTTGCAAAGAGGCATCTTGCGGCGCGCGCCCTCGGCCGGAAGGCTCCCGGCTCTTCCAAAGCGCGGAGCTATCCGAGAGCAGCATGAAGCCGCGCGAAGAACCGAGCCGGCCGGTTCCCGAGGAAGGCGAGAAGGAGACAGGAGCAGACTATAATCCAGATACACTCCATCTGAGCCTCGAGGAAGCTTCCCCCAATCCCAGCCCTGAGGAGAGTCGAGACCAAAAGCTCTCCACACCGCTCTTCTAACTCCTCTCAGGCATCGCTGCAGACTCTGAGGGGGCGGGGGACACGTTCGTCGAGCGCGCGGGTCGATAGCTTAGACGCGTAACAAACGAGTAAATTAAATAGCATCTTTCCATCGCCCTACCCACCAGAGAAAGCCTAGAAGAAAACCGGTTTGGGGGTGTTTTTTTTTTTTTCGCCCTCCGATCAGTTCCTGGATCTGGAAAAGGCGCGCTAAGCTCCTCCTGGGCCTGCCTCGCCGGTCTGCAGCCGCTGGTGCGCCTGAGCGAGGGATGCGTTGGCACCTCCGCACCTCCTCCTCTCTTCCCCGACTGGCTGGGTCACCCGCCCTCGGGAGGGGACGGTGGGGGTGGGGATGGGGGGGGACGAGGAAAGAGCCTGCGGGGAAGCTCACGTCAAACCTGAAAGAAAAAGAAAAAAAGCAGCACCAGCAGCTCCCGCGCGCGTTCGCGGCTACCGGCTGCCCGGGGCAAAGTGGACGAAATGGGTGGGTGAGATTAGGAGGGGGCGCTGGTGAAGGAAAGAGCTAATTAAACAGCCCCTCCCTCCGAAACCTCTCTCTTTCCCCCATCTCCCCTCCGCAACCTCTTCTCCCCCACCCCACCCCACCCCTTCCTCACTTTAATTAGCTGCCCGGGAGCGGAAGGTTGGTCTTTGTGGGGCTGCAACCCAAAATATCTGCGATGAGTTGTAGGCCGGCTGGACGGACTTGCGAGATTGTTCCATCTCCGCTGCGATAAAACTACGTGCCCTTGCCGTGGTATAAAATTGGGGTTGCTTATTAGAAGACGGGGAGGGGCGGGGGAGGACTCGTTTTCTCGTCCGAAAACAAACAGACAAACACTGATTTTACTTTTGGATTTACTTTTGAGACGGCGTCTTTCTCCAAGAGGAGCTGGAATGCGATCCGACTCTGGAACAGGCGTCGTCCTGCTTTCTCAAAGGAATGTGGACTTTTAAAGTAACATTTGATCTGTTCTACCCTTAAAGAGTGTCTTTTGCAGAGGGAGGCATTGCTGAAGCTTATGGCAGAATGCACTTATTAGCTTTTTCTTTTCTTTTCTTTGTGACAGGCTAATGTGACTGACTGTGTAAACATAATTTAAGGACATTGGTTATTTTTAACTTTTTTTAAAAATAATAACACTCCTAAAGGAGGGTTAGGGCAGGAAACTTCTTGTTAAGTATTCGCCTAATTGAGCAAATACAGGTAGTCCTCAACTTATGATCAGAATTGAACCCAACATTTATGTTGCTAAGTGAGGAATGTGTTAAGTAGGTTTTGGCTCATTTTATGATATTTCTTGTCACATTTCAATCACTGCAGTTGTTAAACTAGTAACACGGTTGTTAAGTGAATGGTTCCCCGTTGACTTTGCTTGACCCTGGGACATTGCAACCATCATAAATGTGAGACAATTGTCAAGCATCTGAATGTAAATCACGTGACCATAAGGATGCTGCCAAGGTCCTAAGTGTGAAAAATGGTCATAAGTCACTTTTTTCAGTGCCATTGTAACTTCAAATGGTCACTAAATGAACTGTTGTATGTTGAGGATTACCTGTATAGAGGAATTCCACCATTGAAGGCCTAAGACTTGAGCAATACTGCTTTATGAGAGTATACTTGGAATACTGCATCCAGTTTTTATTGCTACGATGTAAAAAAGATGTTGAGATTAAAGAAAGAGTGCAGAGAAGAGCAACAAAGAGGATTAAGGCACTGGAGGCTAAAATATGCAAAGAAGGGGTGCAGAGAATTTTTGTGATGACCCGTAGTCTCTCAATATAACCCAAAACATATATTAAAGTCCAGTAAGGCCTTCAACTTTACTTCACTGTTTTATTTGGCACAGTTTAAAATCACAAAAGTAACTAATGAGGCAAACAGAAAACCAAAACAAACCGCACTGATGAGAGTTCCGAAGCAAACCAAGATAACTAATCATAAACTCCAGGAAAATAACCGAAAAAAGTCCATGGGAAGAATGCCAACAAAGATAACCTCTTTCAAATTGAACACTAAATTGACTCCTGCAAGCCATGAGGAAGATCATGTAGAGTAGAAGATCTTGAGTAGACCTCACTTTTCCCTGATCCTCTCCTCCCTGCGTGATGTAGGATGGATAGGGGATGGGCCTGGATCCTTTTCTGACTGCTCAGCCAGCCTCTGCCCTTCCCCAGCCTCCTCCACCACCTCTGGAGCCACATTCCCACTCCCTGTTGGCTGTTCCTCCTCTTCCTCAGAGTCAGTCTCCACCAGGGGCATGACAATTTTGCTCCAACTCATTTAAAGGACATCAGGTTGAGGTGAATAGGGACTAATAGCAATTTACAATAGTGCTGCACAGCCTATAACAGGTAGGTACACACGCACACACACACACAAACTCACACCTTACTTAATGAATTTTTTGTTAGGGAAAGTTTGCACCTCTCTTCTTGCATAACACATCAAGTGAATAACAGACATGGGGCTCTGTTCTGCTTTCAAATACTTAGGATTTTATTAAACGAAACAGGAACTGAAATTAAAGAATTGGTTCTGTGTATTTTGAAAAAATTGCATTTTTCACTATTACAGTCTAATCATGGGAGTTTTCCCACAAAGTCTTTGTTTTTTATCTATTAAATATGATTGTTGAGTTAAAGAGCTCACACTCATCTTGTTCATTTTCTTTATGCTGAGCATTAATGTGTAAGACTATGAAAGTTTTGCACCAATCTTTCTGTAATCTGTATCTTCCAAGTGACCCCAAAGAATTAATTTCCATGCTTTACATCACTAGCCAGTTGCAAAATCAGCTGAAATTCCTGAAGATTTTTTGTTCACTTTTTTCCTCTCTGGTCGTTCTAAATTCAGAATTGTGAGCTGCTTATGTACTGCAAAGAAATGTTAAACTTCTTTTAGAACAATTATCTGGCTGCCAAACCATGGAAAACTGGCAGCTAGAGTATGGACATCGGAAATTGTGACTCTTTTCATGATGATTTTTTTAGATATGGAAGAAATTTGACGATAGCTGAGTTTGAAATCATTCAAAATATAGAAGCAATCATTTTATGCATCCAAATTTTTATAGAGAAAATTCCAATTGTAATACTCACACTGATTTTTACTATTAGGAATGTCTGTTATACATTTTGATGAGCACAAGTTATTTTGCATAGTACAGATTATTCTCTCATCTTTAATTATTTGTGTTTATTTATATCCCACCTTTATTATATTTATAAACAACTCAAGGTGACAAGTATGCCAATACTCCTTCCTCCTCCTATTTTTCCTACAGCAACAACCCTGTGAGGTGGGTTGGGCTGAAAGAGAGAATGACTGGTCCAAGATCACCTGGCTGGTTTTCATGCCTACGGCAGGACTAAAATTCCCAGTCCCCCAGTTTCTTACCTGGCTCCTTAATCACTAAACCTCCTCTTCTCATTCTGTGGGACAAATCATTAATAAGCACTTGTAATGTCCAGTGCTAAGGAGAGATGGAATAAGATAAAGAGATGCCTCAGTATCAGCAGTGTACACCATAAAAATCAGAATCAGTTTTATTTTATCACTGGCATTAAGAGAAAAATTGAAATAAATGTATTCTCTGGTGACACATGTACAAATTTTGATACCTGCATGGACCTAGAACACCTTCCCACCAGTGGTGGGATTCAAATTTTTTTACTACCTGTTCTGTGGGTGTGGCTTGGTGGGCATGGCATGGTTTGGCAGATGTGGCTTGGTGGGTATGGCAGGGGAAGGATACTGCAAAATCTCCATTCCCTCCCCACCCCACTAATCTGCTTTCCAGCTCCGTTCTCCTGTGCAGGGCAACGGAAGAAGACCCAGCCGATCAGCTGGGATTCAGGAAGCAGAGAAGAGATGGGGGCAGGGCCAGCGAGAGGTAGTATTTTCCGGTTCTCAGAACTATTCAAAATTTCCGCTACCGGTTCTCCAGAACTGGTCAGAACCTACTGAATACCACCTCTGCTTCACACTCTCATCTGTTCTTCCAATGGAAGAAGGACACCCAACTATCATAGACAAAACACTGAATTTCTGTTTTTAAAGGAGAAAACACATTAGCTTGCTGCTCCAAGGATGACTAATTTGAATGTTCTCTTGGAAAAAAGAAATAATTATTTTCTTGTGGCCTCAAGACTTGGCAACAATGGTCAGACTAGCTCTATAATCTCTGCTAATCACAAAGGCTTGTTAAATTGATAGCTGGTTCAGATTTCACACAGAATGTTTTCTAATTTTTCTTCCTGTTATATATTTTTTATTTACAGTGAAGTTACAAAACTCATGCATGTCCAGAGGGAGCCATTAGAATTGGAAATGTCTAGAAATACATGTCAACATACTGCAATGATTAGTTATTGATATTGGAACAGACTGTGCTTGGACAGCTAAGAGTGCTTATGTAGAAGTAAGAATAAAGAATATGATTTTCAAAGACATGTCTCTATTGTAGCATACCTACATCTAATGTACAAATATTTTCAAGAAAGAACACTTCCCATTTAATCTTTGCAACTGGCAAGAAGGGAAACCCGGATACCAGGAAGTGGGGAGTGTTCAAAATTCAACTTAAAGCTGGCTGCTTCCTTCAAGGAAATATATTTTTTACCTAGGCTAGAAATGTATTGGAAGTGTACTACTTATTTTTTATGATAAGGTAAGGTGGGGCATATATGCAGATATGCACAGTTGCGTAAGTGACACAGGTGATAAGGAGGAAACTGAATGGGAATGCCAGTTGATACTGTAGGGAATATGCCATCATTGTTTCTCAATCTGGATAGTGATGGGGACCAGATGGATGAGCACAATGTAAGCATGCATCCCTATTTCCTTAATTCCTTATTAGTTGGGCTTTATTGCTATAGCAATAGCATTTATAGCAATAGCAATAGCAGCCAAGCTGGCACAGTGGTTAGAGTGCAGTATTGCAGGATACTTCTACTGGCTGCAATTTGGCAGTTCAAATCTCACCAGGCTCAAGGTTGACTCAGCCTTCCATCTTTCTGAGGTGGGTAAAATGAGGACCCAAATATGCTGACTCTGTAAATTGCTTAGAGAGGGCTGTAAAGCACTATAAAGTGGTATATAAGCCTTAAGTGCTATTGCTATTTAGACTTATATACCGCTTCACAGTGCTTTTTAGCCATCTCTAAGTGGTTTACAGCATATTGCCTCCAACAATATGGGTTCTCATTTTACCAACCTCGGAAGGATGGAAGGTTGAGTCAACCTTGAGCCACTCAAGAACGAACTCCTGGAGTGAGCAGTGAGTTAGACCTG